TCCCATCCCAGCACTAGGACTAAGAGTCACGCCAGATGTTCCATCTCACCAGCTGCTGTTGTTGCTCTACTCTGCCAACCTAACAAGTGGCTGAAAACAAACAACACACAGATGAATGTATGAGGATCAGTTAGATATGGATGGATGGTTTTCAGTTGTTTAGTACAGTAATTACAATGACCAAAATGGTAACCGTGTATGAAGGCTGGGAAGGCCATTTTGCCCCTTGTTATATTGTTGTGTGATTAGATATCATAACAGCACTATTTAATTTTTTATGCAATCAGTGCTGCAATCAAGTGTGAGTGTTCATGTGTGGGCGTGTACAATTGTGGATTTGTCTGTATGTGTTTGTTTGTTTGGGTGGGATAATCACCTTTCCAGCCTTTCATGATCTAGTAAACCTGAGTTTGGTCTCCATACCATGGCTCTATATCAATCCCCTAAACTCTCAGTGCAAACTGATTTAGCATCCTTGGGCAAAATGTGCTGACTATCTGCCTTTCTTTCCCCTCCCCGTCTAGCTGCTGGCTCCACTGTGGTTGAGTGGGGCTATTTTAAGTCTAGCCCCCCTTAGCCCCCTTCCTCAGGGAAGGGAACCATTCCAACCTCCCACCACCATCCATCCCATTCTCTGCTTACATACTGTACTGTACTGTACTGTACCCAACCTTACATCAACAGCATGACGGTGTCTTCTCTTTTACAACCCATCAAACAAGCACAAGGTGCAGCCAGACCCAGCTATCATATTTGATTCCTTGTGGGAATGTACGTTTTTGGTTTCCCATTTGTTCTGAGAACAAAGCCATAATTTTCCATACTGGTAAAACAGAACGTTTTTTAAACATTCTGAGAACAGAAGTGAAAACTTCATGTGTTCTGGTAACATTAATTTAGAGGTTGCAGGGAGGTTCTGAGAATGTTTTACCATGGTTCCCTGAAAGTTTTCCTGGGAGGTTTTATTAACATTCTGAGAGCAGAAACTATAGGTTATTTGAAGGTAATTAAATAACGTTCTGAGAACAATAAGACTTTTAATAACAATGCTAGCTTAGTTTAACTGTTTTGAATTCTAAGCACAGATAGGACCCATGGAAATTCATTTGCTCAGGCATTAATCATGCAAACACATAAATGTTTTATTGTGGCACGGAGTCAATGGGATTTAAACCTATTCTCTTCTGTATCTATGGAATTAGTCCACTGTGCCACCAAGATAGAGCTAGCATGCCATGTTTTTTTTTACTAATTCAAAGCTGTTCATTTTAGTCTATTCAAACAGACCGCATTTCAAAGGAAACAAGCAATCATTAAGATCATGTGTGGCCAATTAGTGGGCGCTGCAACACACCTGAACACACATAACAAGACAGAAGATAGAAAGAGTTTTGTTGATGCTGAAAGGAATGTATGTTTTTTAAAATAACATTCTTAGAACGTTCTCTGAACGTTACTAAAGTTTTCTTGTGGTTTTGATGGAAAGTTTTCTTAACATTCTCGGAACAATTTGAGAACATGACTTTAAATAGAATAATGAGGAAACCTGTAGGAAACATTATGCTGAAGTACTGAAATTCCCACAGAAGAACGCTGTTTGTTAACGTTCTCTGAACTATTTGAGAACATTCCCAATGTCAAACCAGTTGGAGAACATTCCTAGAACATTAAGAAATATGAAATGAAACGTAACCATGTTTGAACTTTTAGGAAACGTTCTGTTAAAGTAATGAAATACCAAGAAAAAATATTTTAAAAAATTGTCAAGTTCCTTAAAGGTACACTATGCAGAAATCACTCTCCTATTTCCTGGTTGCAAAAATTTGAATAGTTCGCCTTATTTCAGTTTATGTGACAAAACAAGCAAGTATAGTGTAGAGAGTCATTGTAACATCTAAACCGCTGTGAAATATATTTTCCATATCCCAAAATTTAGTATTTTCAGCTGTTTGAAGCTGGTGTACGGGGGTAGCATAGAAATAGTGCACATAGAACACCTTCTTAGACTTGCTTTCAATGAGAATGACCGATCTCTTTACTCACATTTTTATGTGAATTTGGTTGGGTCGCCCTAACAGTTACCTATTGCAACTTTAAATGTGCTGAGAATGTTCCAAAGCCAAGCAACTATCCTGCACCATTCCCAGAAAGTTGTGGGAAGGTTGTATGCAAAATAACCTTAGGAAAACCACGCTCTCACCAAGCTCTAAGAATGTTATGTGCAAGTTGGGGAGCCAGCTCTCCAGTCTCCACTGCCCTGCCCCACTCACTCTCAGACTTTAAGGAACAGTGAAGCACTGTGATCTGCCATGCTCTCTGTAGCCTTGCCAGGATTCTGACTGATGAGATTTGGAGAGGTGAGACAGGAGAGCGGTGAGGGGGGTCAGAGTGACACTGATATAGTGACAGAGAGAGGCTGGAGTACACATGATTGCAAAAACGCAGGGACAGCTGGTTTCCTGGTAACTGTAATTAGGGCTACACAATGGGAAGGTGCTGCAACACTGGTTCACTGTACTGTTGTTCATATTTCTGGTGAAATACTGCTGTTGCTCCCTTGAGCAATACATAACTCTCATCCCCGGTCGGCTTTGATTTTACTGGCATGAGAGTATGCAGGGTGGGGGATATATATTAAAAGGGTGCTGAACCTCTGTTCTGTGTCTCACCGCATGAATGCTGTTGTATGCTATTGATGTATAGGCCGAAGTGACGGCGAGGCCCATTACAATCTTTGATTATAAAAACCGCAGAGAGAGGCAGGATGACTGGGAGAGATGGCACTGTGAGATGGAAACTCCTGACCACACTCACATGGGCCATGGGTATGCCATGTGCTCACGCCTCTGCTGGGGCATACTGGGATACCTACAGGTGGTGTTTCTCCTCTCCTGTGCAGGATGAGCTTACTAAAATAGTTAGGCAGTGGGAACATTTTTAATTTCTGATACCCTGTTTTTCCCTATGATAATACTTTGTAGCTACAGTTTTTGTATCTGGTCCCTGCTCTCTCCAGCCCCCTTTCTGTGGGCATGACAGAGCACCATGAAGTGGGCTGAAAGTGAGGGTGTTGGAGAGAGGATGTGCAGCCAGACTCGCTTCTCCTTCTCATCTAGACTCTGGGAGCTCGTACTGCAGCAGATCTCCCTGTCGTGAGGTGTATTGAGGCAGCCTGGTCTCATAGACTAGACGTAACATAGTAAATGTAGATCCGGGACACTCTAATGAGTATGATATGTTATGCTTGGTATTATTTCATAAGACAGAAGGTTATTTAAGGCAAAAACAAATTGTAGGAATTGCAATAGAGCCTCATAATACCCATAAAACCTAGCGGTCAAACAGGGAAATGGTTCCAATCGTTTTTCCACCATACATTTTTCCCATAGGGGATTTTAGAAACACTTAAAATAAGGGCTGTGTTTCGTGTAGGCTTACCCTGGCATGACATTTTGATACCATGTAAATCTCTCTCGGACAAGGTGACTTTTATCGATATTTTCAGCTCTATTTACTCTCAGATTCGAAGAAATGCTAATTAGCATCAAAGTAGACATCATGCAAGACTACAAATTCCTGCAAACTCCCGCACATCCTCTCTAGCTGACACCTTTGCTAACAGGTATTGTGTCAATTTAAAACTTGCACAATTTAAATCCAATCAAATTGTATTTGTCACATGCGCCGAATACAGTGACCTTACAGTGAAATGCTTACCTACAAGCCCTCAACCAACAATGCAGTTTTAAGAAAAATAAGTGTTAAGAAAATATTTATTAAGTAAACTGAAGTAAAAAATAAAATAAAATAAAAATTAAGAAGAGAATAGTCCGGGTAGCCATTTTAGCCAATGTATTCATTGCTACAGTACTGTGGTACTCTATTCGTAACATATTGTACAAATTGCAATTTGTAACATGTCATTCGAAATGGATGATGGGCATCCACAAATGAATACATAACATACTAAACTTAACATATCATACTAATTGGAGTTTTACTATGTTACATCTACCCCAGGTTGAGTGAGTCCAGGATGAGTGAGGAATTAGGGGTGGTGTGGACTTAGGTAAGTCCCTTCCCCTTCTCAGTTAAATTCATTAGTGTTGCAGTGGCACAGACAACAGGACAGGACCTCTATAAATAATCTAAGACTGAAGGAGTAGTGAAGTAGGAGAGAAGTGCCAGCAGAGGAGGGGGGGGGCAGTAGCTGACACAGCATAATTAACTGTGGCTGCTTGGTTACCTTCCAAACAAAGCAGCTGATTTGCACAGCAAACGAAGAGGAGGGGAAAGCAAGGGAGGAGGAGGGGGAATTAAAGGAAAGAGATTAAGGGAGTGAATGCACAGTGCCACACACTTGAATCTCAGTCTACCTTGGAGACAGTGTAGCGTTGGATCACGGCATGACAGCGCAACAGTAGTCTCCACTCCACAGCACTTCTACTGAGCTCCACCACTGTCCAGAGGGAGAGACAACATCTGAGGAAGAAACAGTGAGGGAGTCAGCTCAACTGATTGAGAAGGAGGGAGAGACAGTGAGGGAGACAGCTCAACTGATTGAGAAGGAGGGAGAGACCGTGAGGGAGTCAGCTCAACTGATTGAGAAGGATGGAGCAACAGTGAGGGAGACAGCTCAACTGATTGAGAAGGAGGGAGAGACAGTGAGGGAGACAGCTCAACTGATTGAGAAGGAGCGAGAGACAGTGAGGGAGACAGCTCAACTGATTGAGAAGGAGGCAGAGACAGTGAGGGAGTCAGCTTAACTGATTGAGAAGGAGGGAGAGACAGAACTAAAGAAGAAGATAGAAGAAGATAAACATCAATTGACATTTAGAAAGAAGAGGCAGATAGAGAGCTAAAGCAAGCCGCCTGTGGATGAGCCTGAAGCCTGGGGATGCAGAGGGATTGCAGGAGGAGCGTAGCAGCAGCCTAGCCAGGCGGACAGATAACATACACACATCTCAGGGAGGGACTGTTGGCTCTGCCCCTACTGGAGGATGAAGAAGCACTCAGCCAGAGTGGCTCCTCTCAGCTCCTACAGCTCCCAGGTCCTCACCTGCTCCATCTCCGAAGGTAAAGACTCCTGACTGGGGGTAGGGGACAGGGAAAAGGGGATGGAGTCTCGCCCTAGGCGCCATGTCTTGGATATGTTTATTTATTTTTTAATTTTTTATTTAACCTTTATTTAACTAGGCAAGTCAGTTAAGAACAAATTCTTATTTACAATGACGGCCTACATCGGCCAAACCCGGACGACGCTGGGCCAATTGTGCACCGCCCTATGGTACTCCCAATCACGGCCGGTTGTGATACAGCCTGGAATTGAACCAGGGGGTCTGTAGTGACGCCTCAAGCACTGAGATGCAGTGCCTTAGACCGCTGCGCCACTCGGGAGCCCATGTGTGTGAACATCTGTGTGTTTGCGTATGCATGCGTGTCTGTGTGTCTAAGATGGGCAACATTGGAAACTCATCAAACCCTTCTATAAGAGCAGGGATATGCGTGGTGATTACCATCTTTGGGCACTATTAATGCCTATAGCTAAACGACTCTGGCAGTTTAGCTGTTTTTACATATTAATTTTTGTGTAATAGGCCTTAGTGTTAAGTGGTCATTACATGGCTCATTAAAATCAACCCTAAAGGGCAGAGTATGAGAGAGATAGAGAAAGAAAGGGAGGAAGAAGGGAGGGAGAGTTAAGGTAACTAAAACAAATTAGGATGTGTCCAGTCCTAGTATAATTGTGTGCTCTGGGCCTTCTATGGTTATGTAAAGAGCACACTATTTTCCCTCCACAGAATAGTGCATACTGGGCTTCTTGTTAAGTCTATGAAATGAAATGTCACAATGGCATGAAAATTATATAAACAATATAAAGTTATCAAGTAGACTATAATGCTCTTCATTATCTTGTGATTATTCACAATCATACACAATCAGATGAATGATTATTTTACCAATCAACTGTTAGGATTATTTCAATATTTTCACTTGAATGACAATGTATTACAGAACTATGAGAAACTTCAATGCCTTTACTCTTCCCCATTCTTTGGGAGGGGATACAGAACTTATCGACAGGGATTGCGATATCACAGCGTGTGTTTAGTTGTGTTCAAGTTGTAATTTGTGCCACACCACTGATGTTGACATACCCAAACAGGCTGACGGCTTGGCTGTTCTCACATCTGTTCCTTCTTGCTTACCTGTTTTGTACATGATTAGTTTTAGGCAAAACCCATTTAGAGAGGGACATGGGTACAACATCCTTTAAATGGTACAGGCCTCTCCACAGCCATACACTGTCCTGTTTCTAAGGATTTGAGTTCTATATCATCCATTGCCTTTCTGTCTATTTTGCAGAGATTAACAAAAGATACACTTAATCCTCAATTAATCCATGTCTTTTCGTCTCACCTGGTATGGAATAAATGCACTTCCTGACCCCTGTATACCACTGCAGGCCGTGTAGGAACATCAATGTTGTTTTCATTTCTCACCTTTGCTTATGAGTCAACTCAAAACATAGCTTTGGGCTTAATACAGTATATAACAGGATGCATAGGTAGCTAGAGAAAGGCCTACTAAACAGCATTGCTTAGAGATATTCCTGTCCTTTGCAAGACCTCAGCCATATGATGCAGTCAAGTGTCCAGACTACAGCTTGTGAGATACTGTAGGTTTCCTTTTTAGTTTTTGATAAGTTATTTTTCACTGTGCCATACCATATTGTATGTTACAGAAGCTCAAATGTAGCCAATACTTCAGCATTAATGAGGTGGAATGTGGAATTATAGTTTTGTTTTAATATCCGCATCCTGGCAATGGATAAAAATGTGGTGCTTGTGCCTGGGGAAACAGGATGCTAGCAAGCCTACAATGTGTCACTCTCTGCACCCAGCACCCACTACAGTACTGTACAGTGAATTATGTCCTCTCAGTATGGGCAAGGTCTTTGAATGGTCAATGAACCGCAGAGAGAGGAGGACAAAGAAATGTAGCTCAGCATACAACATCTACATCCAGACTCGCTCATAAAAATTATGTTACAAGTCTTACATTTCCTGGATGTATTGGTGGGGACATTTTCATCCAATATAAAACTCTGCAATATTAAACTCTGCACTGTATGCCAAGATCCCAAGCCAAATTGACAGAGTTCCAAATGCCAGTGAAAGTTAGCTACTGTATCTTATTGGGGGGCAGGTAGCCTAGCGGTTAGCACATTGAGCCAGTAACCAAAAGGTTGCTAGTTTTAATCCCCGAGCTGACTAGGTAAAAAATCTGTCAATCTGCCCTTGAGCAATGCACCCGGGTTGCGGTCAATCATGGCTGATCCAATGCTGTGACCCCACTCTCATGGGGAGTGGGATATGCAAAAAACACATTTCCATTTCACCATTCACGTGTTAAGGTTACACACTTGTACATGTGTGAAACAGGACAAATATAAGCACCCCCTATTTAACCTGTTGAATTGCCACAGTAACCATGGAGCAAAGTGGGACAGAGATACAGTTTCCATATCAAAATGATCCTTTGAAGAAAGAAGTCAAACAACACTGACTGGAACTGATTCTAATGCATTGTCTGTCTTCATAATCAGCATTGTCCAGCATTGTCTGTTAGTCCAGCATTGTCTTTTTGTGTCGCTGGAAGGGCACTCTTTGGAGAGATGCAATGCTCAACTAATATTATAAAGGAACTGTAGGTGTATGTTTGCTGTTGAATGGTGTTACTGTTTGGTTTTGTCATCATTGAAGTTTCTGTCCACACTTAAGCTTTTGTAGGAATGGGTACTGACTAGCAGCATTATTGTAACTTAGGGTCAGACAGCATAAAGTGTCTTGGGTTTCAAGGACATTTTCATTCTGGATGTGCTGCCGACGTCTTTCTTCTACTTCTAAGGCTTTAAAGTCTAACAGAACCCAGCACACACACTTTTAAGCATCTATGACATGTTAAGCCAGCAATTAATGTTACCCTTGTTATCTTTAAATAAAAACCGATTTGAAAGAGTTTCATCTCATGCATATTCCATTCCATTACACTCTGCTTTCTGTTTTAGAGAACCTAAGGGGAAGAGTCAAGGTATTTTTTATTTTATTTATTTATTTATTTCACATTTATTTACCCAGGTAAGCCAGTTGAGAACAAGTTCTCATTTACAACTGCGACCTGGCCAAGATAAAGCAAAGCAGTGCGGTAAAAACAACAACAACACAGAGTTACATATGGAATAAACAAAACGTACAGTCAATAACACAATAGAAAATATATATACAGTGTGTGCAAATGTAGTAAGTTATGGAGGTAAGGCAATAAATAGGCCATAGTGCAATATAATTACAATTATAATTTAGTATTAACACTGGAGTGATAGATGTGGAGAAGATGATGTGCAAAAAGTGATACTGGGGTGCAAATGAGCAAAATAAATAACAATGTAAATAACAATATGGGGATGAGGTAGTTGGGTGGGCTAATTACAGATGGGCTGTATACAGGTGCAGTGATCGGTAAGCTGCTCTGACAACTGATGCTTAAAGATAGTGAGGGAGATAAGTGTGTCCAGCTTCAGAGATTTTTGCAGTTCGTTCCAGTCATTTGCAGCAGAGAACTGGAAGGAATGGCGACCAAAGGAGGTGTTGGCTTTGGGGATGACCAGTGAGATATACCTGCTGGAACGCATACTACGCGTGGGTGTTGCTATGGTGACCAATGAGCTAAGATAAGGCGGGGATTTGCCTAGAAGTGATTTATAGATGACCTGGAGCCAGTGGGTTTGGCGATGAATATGTAGTGAGGGCCAGCCAACGAGCGCGTACAGGTCACAATGGTAGGTAGTATATGGGGCTTTGGTGACAAAACGGATGGCACTGTGATAGACTACATCCAATTTGCTGAGTTGAGTGTTGGAAGCTATTTTGTAAATGACATTGCCGAAGTCAAGGATCGGTAGGATAGTCAGTTTTACGAGGGCATGTTTAGCAGTATGAGTGAAGGAGGCTTTGTTGCGAAATAGGAAGCCGATTCTAGATTTAACTTTGGATTGGAGATGCTTAATGTGAGTCTGGAAGGAGAGTTTATGGTCTAACCAGACACATAGGTATTTGTAGTTGTCCACATATTCTAAGTCAGACCCGCCGAGAGTAGTGATTCTAGTCGGGCAGGCGGGTGTAAGCAGTGTTCGATTGAAGAGCATGCATTTAGTTTTACTAGCGTTTAAGAGCAGTTGGAGGCTACGGAAGGAGTGTTGTATGGCATTGAAGCTTGTTTGGAGGTTTGTTAACACAGTGTCCAATGAAGGGCCAGATGTATACAAAATGGTGTCGTCTGCGTAGAGGTGGATCTGAGAGTCACCAGCAGCAAGAGCGACATCATTGATATACACAGAGAATAGAGTCGGCCCGAGAATTGAACCCTGTGGCACCCCCATAGAGACTGCCAGAGGTCCAGACAACAGGCCCTCCGATTTGACACATTGAACTCTAAGGTATGAATCATAGTGGCACACTTTTATAGTCTTGAGTGGATTTTTTGGGTAACGGAAGACTGCTCTGAACCAATAGTTTGTTTTCTCTCTGGGAGCAGAGGTTGGATACCTAATAATGCACATTAGGGTTTTTATTGGATAACTTAAAGGCACTGATTGTACTCATATTGTTTTGAGCACTGCTAATGGCCCTCCTCAAAGCTCCAAGTAGAGGCTGCTGCTTCCTGCTGTACTGTAATGTAATGTCTATAGCCATGGTGGAAATGGCTGGGCTGGACCCATAGTTCTGAACCAGCAGGCTGAGTGCGCAGCAAACACCCAGCACATGCCATATTTTATTCCTGCCCTGGTGTAAGTTGATCACGCTGTGGAGGCCTATATAACGGATCCTGGATCTCTCCGGAAACAGCCGCACATCATCTCAGTGATACACACCCCATTCACACCCACAATCCATTAAGGCAATGCACCAACCAATATTATTCTGCTTTGACTGCAAAATGACTGCTGCAAGGAATAACATTCAATATAAGTCCTTACATTTCTGTTCTCGATTCCTGGTTCTCTGTAGTAGTGGGTTTGATGTGTGTGTTCACAGTTAGCTTTACGGTTCTCCTTGCTCCCAGTCTCCCTGCGCACACTGCACCAGTCCAAAAACCACCCAGTCTGCACTGAAGCCACTGAATACAGAAATGCACACTCAGAGCTTTGCTAATCTATTCTCTTTACAGTCGCAAGCAAAAACAAAAAGGCAGGTCTGTTAAACTTTTAATAATGTTTTCTTGTGGTTGTAAAGATGTCAGCAGTCTACCGTAGTGGCCCCTGCTATGTCCACTAGGGAAAGTCCTAGTGGAACATCTTGCTCAGTGCTCTAAAAGGTATTTTTGAAGAGTCTTATTCTACAATAGCCAGACCTCTAAACTATCAATCCTGTAGTTTCTTTAGAGAGCGATAGAAAGCATGATAAGAAACAGGCTGCCACAATTGACAAGGTTGTCATGTCTTTCTAGAGACGGATGACACGTGATTGGGCTGACACATTCATAATGTGGATCGTTTTTGGGAGTCAGGTTTCTGTGCATGTCTGAATACATGTCTATGTTAGGACCAAATCCCCTGTGTTGTATAATGACTCTATGGTGCTATTTCTGACATGGGCAACCAGCAACCAGCATGCCAAGACAACACATTTTGATCAAAGCTTTGCCTTAGTGCCTTTATAGCAGGTAATTCAAACTGGAGGACTGACTGCTCATGAAGGACGAATGATCAATACTTGCTTACATACCTCAGTGAGGCAGCCAGGATAACGTCATAGAATGGAACTTGGAACGCATTGGCCTTTATGGAACAATCCACTCTAAATGTCTTTGTGAAAGCTGTTCCACATCAGCTTTATTGTCAAGTGCTAAGTGTTTTATTGTGAAAATGGAACATTCAAATTGATCTGTTGCTATCAACCACACACTGTAAAAACAAATACTGAAAACACATGCTTATGGCTCTTTGTCCAGAGTGTCGCTGTTCATTGTGCTGAATGGGGTGCCACTGTCTATGGTGCTGAATGGGGTGCCACTGTCTATGGTGCTGAATGGGGTGCCACTGTCTATGGTGCTGAATGGGGTGCCACTGTCTATGGTGCTGAATGGGGTGCCACTGTCTATGGTGCTGAATGGGGTACCACTGTCTATGGTGCTGAATGGGGTGCCACTGTCTATGGTGCTGAATGGGGTGCCACTGTCTATGGTGCTGAATGGGGTGCCACTGTCTATGGTGCTGAATGGGGTACCACTGTCTATGGTGCTGAAGCTTATGACACTGTCCATGGTGCTGAAGCGTCTGCTATTCAGCCACACCTACACCAATGCCTCTTGTGATGCCACAAGCCTATAGTACATATCCCTCCATACTTTAACTATGGATGTGTTTACCCCCACAGGAGAGGAGGGTTTTGATTCTCATGCGGACACACCAGGCAGTGAGGCCAGTGAAGAAGGGACATCATACCAGACGTGTGCTAACGCAGTGCTGAAGGTGCTGGGGGGCCTCCTATTGGTCCTATGTGTCTCCTTCTCTTGGGTGGGAACCACTCAGCTGGTCCAGCTCACCTTCAAGTCCTTCTCCTGCCCCTTCTTTGTCTCCTGGTTCAGCACCAACTGGAACATCCTCCTCTTCCCTCTGTACTACGGAGGCCATGTGGTCACCACCCGGGACAAGCAGACGCCTATACAGAGATTCAGGTGATTTATCATGACAGTGGGGAAGAGCTTATACAAGGTTGCACAGGCTAGGTAGCTCATTGAGAAACCATAGACTCCATAGACTATAATTCCAGGGTATTGAATCAGTTGTGACACCCAGAAGTGTTTATGGGAGCTGCAGTAGTTATCAGATTTGTAAAATGCTGTTTGTTCAGTATTCAGTGGGTTTGATCTCCTCTAGTGCTGTTTGACGTTGTTTATATTACACACCCCTCCTCTAATTACCATTGGCACTCAGGCGTGTGAATGGGGATATTGACCGCAACCATGAGAAATGGCCAGTGTAATAATGGTGGTGTCTGCTCATTTCAATGAAGCATTGCCTCTCAGCCGGAAGAACGGTTTTGACTTCCATCCAAAATTGTGTAATTCCCACTCTCACATTTCCTCATGTGTATAGGACTAATCCCTTTGATAAGTGCTCTTACCAACAACTTTGAGAAGTAAATAACTGCCCCCTTTTCTCTATCCCGTATTTCCTCTCTTTAATTCCATTCGTCAGAGAGTGCAGCAGGCTTTTCGGGGAGGATGGGATGACCCTCAAGCTGTTCCTGAAGAGGACAGCTCCCTTCTCCATCCTGTGGACCCTGACTAACTACCTGTACCTGCTGGCCCTGAGGAAGCTGACCGCCACTGACGTCTCAGCCCTCTACTGCTGCCACAAGGCCTTCGTCTTCCTACTGTCCTGGATCGTCCTGAAGGACCGCTTCATGGGTGTACGGGTCAGTACTCTATCACTACTATTACTTCATTGGGCTTGGTCACACAGCTATCCAATGAATCATACAAGGGTGTGGAAGTAGGTACAAGTATTAAGGTTGATTGGTTTACCTCCCTCATCCCTACCTGCAGATTGTGGCAGCCATAATGGCCATCACAGGCATCGTCATGATGGCTTACGCAGATGGTTTCCATGGGGACTCCATCATAGGCGTGGCCTTGGCTGTGGGCTCCGCGTCCACATCGGCTCTCTACAAGGTTAGTTTACTAAGCAGGTGCCTGTTTATACTGAAATTCTTAGTATTCTTAATTAGTTTTACATAGAGTTCCATCAGTATAACATATCTGGACATTGTTTCCTCTGCTGCAGGTGCTGTTTAAGATGTTCCTAGGCAGTGCCAACCTGGGTGAGGTGGCTCACTTTCTCTCCACCATGGGCATCTTCAATCTCATCTTCATCTCCTTCATCCCCCTCATCCTCTACTTCACCAAAGTGGAGCACTGGGGCTCTCTGTCCTCGCTGCCCTGGGGATACCTGTGTGGCCTGGCCGGGCTCTGGCTGGGTGAGTGGACACACGCACACACACTAGTTGATCATACTAGGAACGATATTTGTGTTAACGTTGTCATTTCTCTTCCAGTGTTCAATATCCTGGTTAATCTTGGTGTGGTGCTTACGTACCCCATCCTCATCTCTATAGGGACACTGCTCAGTGTGCCCGGCAATGCAGGTATGTGTTTGTGTGTGCATGTGTGTACGTGCATCTCTGAAATATGTGTAAAGGCCTCTTTATTCTAATGCATGCAGAGGTATTGTATCCAAATGTCAGCACTTGAGGCCCCCGCAACAAACAGATTACACAGCAAGTCTGACTCTCTCACCTCGGAAACCCAATCATCAATGTGCCTTCATAGATGCAGCAACTATCCGTCACTAAGGGAGGATCAGGTTGCCAAGGCGACACTAAATGCCTGCAGACAAGTTATTTTCCTTAACCACAGTGGACTGTATGAAGGTCAGTGGGTTACTACAGCTTGGCGCGGTGCAGGGGTGTAGACCTATAGAGCAGAGAGAAAATGTAGTGGCCCACTTGTGCTGATTGTAAACTGCATTGTTAAGCTACATATATCCCCCTGCAGTTCAGTTCATCCCCCCACTTGTGTCCTGCTGTTTCTGTTACTTTATGTAATTAATCAGAACATCTCTCTCCGTCTTTCTCCCTCTCTCTTCTTATACCTCAGTTCTGCTTAATTAATCAAAACATCTCTCTCTCTCTCGCTCCGTACCTCCTTCCTTTCCTCCCTCCCTCCCTAGTGGTAGATGTGTTGAAACATGAGGTGATCTTCAGTGTGGTGCATTTGGCTGCCACCTGCATCATCTGCCTGGGCTTCCTGCTACTGCTGCTTCCTGAGGAGTGGGACTCCGTCACACTGCGCTTCCTCGCCACATTTGCAGACAAGAAGTCTGAGGAGCATAGCGAGGAGCTGACCGATTCCAGCATCCACACGCACAGCCGCAGCCGAGCCAATGGCGCCGTCTCAATCCCTATGGCATGACCCCCGACCCTGTCAGCTCCCATGACCCTCCAATGGCCCGTCCCATCACCAACACCCATCCTCGCACGGTTCTACATGTCCCATCTGGGAAACGTGGAGGGATGACTATGGTGCTGACCCAGTCTTGCCCCATCGTACGCCCCTAAACCACGTAAGCCCAACCTTGAACCTGCTCCACGGACTGTATTCTGTGAATATAAATATTGACAGGGCCAGTTTGGCTCAATCTTATCTGCATTTATTAAATTTACTCAGAGGTGTATCAATAGAGTATTTACATTTGACTTCTTATATAGTGTTATATACAGGAATGGGTTGGGAAAAATATGCTTAAGATACAGGCTCTTTTTCATTTTTAATAAAATACAATTAAAGACCAATAGCTTCTTGATCAGATCGTCTTATAAACACATGTTCACAACCTTTAAAAACATGCTATGTTCAAGACAGGAAAATTATTGAGATGGCTGTAAATGGATATTTCAGTTATCAATAGCCACGGAAGTGGATCAGGTCCACATTCGACAGAGCAGAGCTTCTGAGGTCTCTCTCTCCCTCTCCATAAAGCCAGGGCCTTCAGATCATCCTATAACATCACCTCTGCATGGACCACGCACATCGCACACAGACAGCAGGTTCATGTTTATATGTACAATGAGGGAAAAAAGTATTTGATCCCCTGCTGATTTTGTACGTTTGCCCACTGACAAAGAAATGATCAGTCTAGAGACAGAATAACAACAACAAAAATCCAGAAAAACGCATGTAAAAAATGTTATCAATTGATTTGCATTTTAATGAGGGAAATAAGTATTTGACCCCTCTGCAAAACATGACTTAGTACTTGGTGGCAAAACCCTTGTTGGCAATCACAGAGGTCAGACGTTTCTTGTAGTTGGCCACCAGGTTTGCACACATCTCAGGAGGGATTTTGTCCCACTCCTCTTTGCAGATCTTCTCCAAGTCATTAAGGTTTCGAGGCTGACGTTTGGCAACTCGAACCTTCAGCTCCCTCCACAGATTTTCTATGGGATTAAGGTCTGGAGACTGGCTAGGCCACTCCAGGACCTTAATGTGCTTCTTCTTAAGCCACTCCTTTGTTGCCTTGGCCATGTGTTTTGGGTCATTGTCATGCTGGAATACCCATATACGACCCATTTTCAATGCCTTGGCTGAGGGAAGGAGGTTCTCACCCAAGATTTGACGGTACATGGCCCCGTTCATCGTACCTTTGATGCGGTGAAGTTGTCAGGTCCCCTTAGCAGAAAAACACCCCCAAAGCATAATGTTTCCACCTCCATGTTTGACGGTGGGGATGGTGTTCTTGGGGTCATAGGCAGCATTCCTCCTCCTCCAAACACGGCGAGTTGAGTTGATGCCAAAGAGCTCCATTTTGGTCTCATCTGACCACAACACTTTCACCCAGTTCTCCTCTGAATCATTCAGATGTGCATTGGCAAACTTCAGACGGGCATGTATATGTGCTTTCTTAAACAGTGTGACCTTGCGGGCACTGCAGGATTTCAGTCCTCCTAATCGCACCAACTGTTGTCACCTCTCACCAAGCTGCTTGGCGATGGTCTTGTAGCCCATTCCAGCCTTGTGTAGGTCTACAATCTTGTCCCTGACATCCTTGGAGAGCTCTTTGGTCTTGGCCATGGTGGAGAGTTTGGAATCGGATTGATTGATTGATTGCTTCTGTGGACAGGTGTCTTTTATACAGGTAACAAGCTGAAATTAGGACCACTCCCTTTAAGAGTGTGCTCCTAATCTCAGCTCGTTACCTGTATAAAAGACACCTGGGAGCCAGAAATCTTTCTAATTGAGAGGGGGTCAAATACTTATTTCCCTAATTAAAATGCATATCAATTTATAACATTTTTGACATGCGTTTTTCTGGATTTTTTTGTTGTTATTCTGTCTCTCACTGTTCAAATAAACCTACCATTAAAATGATAGACTGATCATTTCTTTGTCAGTGGGCAAATGTACAAAATCAGCAGGGGATCAAATACTTTTTTCCCTCACTGTATAACTAACTGCTCAGTAGAACTGCTCACACAGGCCTGAGAATATACTGCCTTCTTTAGATCAACTATACCAGTACTTTTTATAATGAGGTCTAGAAGGTTGTGAACCACACCTAATGCCTGCTTTCACAGCCAGGTAGGGCATGTCACTACCATGTCTTCTGCCCTGATTTGTCTTAGTTCCAAACATATCCAGCAGCATGGAGTGTGATTCATCCAGTCTTAGTAATAATGTATTTAACTAATTCTGCAGGGATGACAGACTCTCCTCTGTCATTCATTCCTCTCTCAGCTCCCCCCTGCTCACTTCCACAGATATCTCTGGTAATTACATGAAGGCTTTTATGGCCCAGCAGCAGCCTAGCACTGATTCATCTGCAGGTAGAACACACAGCTCCTCCACAGCCAGACCGTGACAGAGGAACCGTAAAAACAGCAGCAGGGGGGCACACCAGGCACAACAGCCTTTCAGTGGGATATCAATAGAATGAAACCAATATGAAAGATGGAATAACTAAATTCATTACAGGGCACTTGAATTGCTTTATTCCTGGATACGAAGTGGAGTGTGTTTGTTGGAAATAATATGTTCTCCTCTGAGGCTGTGAGACTCAGAGCTCAGTCCCCAGTCAGTGCTGTGGTGACTGGTATGCTGTCAGTGAGACATGCCCTCTAATGAAGCATTTGCTGAAGTGACAGATTCACAGACAGACTGTTGTGGCTGTTACCCCATTAAACCAAATGAGCGAGAAAGAGGAGGAGGTGGAGGAATGTAAGGAGGGGTTTAAATCCTCATTACTGATGATTTGCACATCCACATACTGAGACAGAACAAAATACAGCATCTCCATGTTATGCAGGTAGTCCGAACTCTCTTCATCATTTGAAAAGTAATGCTCCAACTTTTACCTTTATTTCTATGTCCTGCTGTGAATTACTTCCCTTGTTGGAAACTGTGAAAGTAGAGTGTATGTTGTTGAGGCAGATTCTGTAAATGATCACCCACCTCAACCCCCACACCTCCACACCCACACTCTCTCTCTACCCATGCCTGGACAGTTTGGAGTGTGGATGGGAGGAGGTATGGGGCTAGAAAAAGAGCAGGGTCTTTCAAGCATTAACTTGGAGTTACAAAGTAACCTGTAGGGAGAGTTGTCATAGAAACACAGCTCATTATAATGAAAAATGAGAAGTATAAAGACAGGGATGGGGCACATACCTTCCATTTTAACCACAACTAAAACTGTTTACTGTACTTGTACAGCTGTAACATACAGAGAGAGGGTTTCAGGGGACAAATGCTTATGTTGCCAGTGGCAGGATTTGAAGCACACTTTGATTGATTGATATATAAATAACAAAAGGATAACAGAGATGTATGCCACCATAACTAACTAGGGAAGTTATTATATAACTAATGGTGTCATACCAAAGGGCTATGCTAATTTATCAAAAAAGAAAAGTCAACTACAGTACATCAAGAACCGTAGCAGCCGTGGCGGAGCATAGGACACCACATACAGCCAAGCGAAGAGAGAACCTGAGCGGAGGACTCAAAAACAAGTGAGGTGAGACAAGTTCCTTTGATTTCAACACTGAAAGTAATTTAGACCATCCAGATTTCATAATATTAACAAACCCAAATTAGAGTGCGATTGCTTGACTGATCAACAGACTTTCGCTAAAAGCAAAAGCCTAGCATAGCAGCCTGACGGCCATAGCAGAGGGCTAGTGGTGGACTATGGGCTCTACTGGCTCCAGGTCCAGGCTGAGTCAGGTGGCCCCGTGTCACAGTCAGCCAGAGGGAGACCAGGACCAGCAGGCCAGTCATCCCACCTCACAATGGACCATCCCTGCTGTGCCAACCCCACTGGAGCCACAGCATGGGCCCCTAGGACATAGGAGGACTACCCAGCTGCCCCCACTGAAACTGGAAAACCCTGCAAGCTTCCCACCACTATCTACAGGTCAGTATACAAACGTAATTTTTTTCTCACAATTTGGTTGTCATCATCATGAAGGCTTAACTGTCTTGTGTGTCTATGTGTGTATATGCATGTGTGTAAGAATCATCATATGTAGCAAGCAGCCTCCCACAGAGTCAAAGCAACATTTGGGGACCAAGCATCATTCATTCTCATCCACCACGAAGACTACAGGTCAGAACAGTATAGCTTTCACTACCATTTTACTACAAACTGTCACAAGCATTTTTGTTCAAGTGTTCCTAAATTCCTACTTTGTTATTTTCCTATCTCTATGTGAAATAAATTGTATTCTAATATAGTGTCTAGGACTCTATATTGGGGGAGAAGTGGCTGTATCATTGCATTGACTGTTGTTGTGATGTACAGTTGAAGTTGGAAGTTTACATACACCTTAGCCAAATACATTTAAACTCAGTTTTTCACAATTCCTGACATTTAATCCTAGTAGAAATTCCCTGTCTTAGGTCAGTTAGGATCACCACTTTATTTTAAGAATGTGAAATGTCAGAATAATAGTAGAGAGAATTATTTATTTCAGCTTTTAGTTCTTTCATCACATTCCCAGTGGGTCAGAAGTTTACATACACTCAATTAGTATTTGGTAGCATTGCCTTTAAATTGTTTAACTTGGGTCAAATGTTTCAGGTAGCCTTCCACAAGCTTCCCACAATAAGTTGGGTGAATTTTGGCCCATTCCTCCTGACAGAGCTGGTGTAACTGAGTCAGGTTTGTAGGCCTCCTTGCTCACACACGCTTTTTCAGTTCTGCCCACACATTTTCTATAGGATTGAGGTCGGGGCTTTGTGATGGCCACTCCAATACCTTGACTTTGTTGTCCTTAAGCCATTTTGCCACAACTTTGGAAGTATGTTTGGGGTCATTGTCCATTTGGAAGAGCCATTTGCGACCAAGCTTTAACTTCCTGACTGATGTCTTGAGATGTTGCTTCAATATATCCACATAATTTTCCTTCCTCATAATGCCATATATTTTGTGAAGTGCACCAGTCCCTCCTGCAGCAAAGCACCCCCACAGCATGATGCTGCCACCCCCGTCCTTCATGGTTGGGATGGTGTTCTTCGGCTTGCAAGCCATCCCCCTTTTTCCTCCAAACATAACGATGGTCATTATGGCCAAACAGACCAGAGGACATTTCTCCAAAAAGTACGATCTTTGTCCCCATGTCCAAACCGTAGTCTGGCTTTTTTATGGCGGTTTTGGAGCAGTGGCTTCTTCCTTGCTGAGCGGCCTTTCAGGTTATGTCGATATAGGACTTGTTATACTGTGGATATAGATACTTTTGTACCTGTTTCCTCCAGCATCTTCACAAGGTCCTTTGCTGTTGTTCTGGGATTGATTTGCACTTTTCGCACCAAAGTACTTCTAAAGCCATGCCATCATTTTCTGGAATTTTCTAAGCTGTTTAAAGGCACAGTCAACTTAGTTTATGTAAACTTCTGACCCACTGGAATTGAGATACAGTGAATTATAAGTGAAATAATCTGTCTGTAAACAATTGTTGGAAAAATTACTTGTGTTATGCACAAAGTAGATGTCCTAACCGACTTGCCAAAACTATAGTTTGTTAACAAGAAATTTGTGGAGTGGTTGAAAAACTAGTTTTAATGATTCCAACCTAAGTGTATATAAACTTCCGACTTCAACTGTATGTGTACTCACGCAGACCTCCCATCATTCTCTCTCCTCAGGCGTTGCAACCGCTGGCCCCTCTTAGCACAGGCCTCAAGGTTACTGGCAATCACATGGCCATGGTAAAAAAAAAAACATACAAAAACATCAGTGCCATTTTGTCTCTGTGTATGCCTGTGTGTTGACATGTATACAAAGCCTTGGTCAATTTTGAAGCTGTTTAAATTACCTTATGCTTGTGTTTGGGGCACACGGTGGCACCAGCTGCCATCCAAAGGTGCAGATAGATACTGTAATGGATTTCCAATGCCTTCATAAAGTATTCACACCCCTTTCTCCACATTTTGTTGTGTTACAAAGTGGGATTAAAATGAATTTAATTGTAATTTATTGTCCACGATCTACACAAAATACTCTGCAATGTCAAAGTGGAAGAAAAATTCAACAACAAAAAAATATCCTAATGGAAAATAAAACATGAATATACCTTGATTAGATAAGTATTCAACCCCCTGAGTCAACAGATGTTATAATCACCTTTGGCAGTGATTACATTTGTGAATGATTACATTTGTGAGTCTTTCTGGGTAAGTCTCTAAGAGCTTTGCAAACCTAGATTGTACAATATTTGCCCATTATTCTTTAAAAAATTCTTCAAGCTCTGTCAAGTTGGTTTGCTAGACAGCCATTTTCAAGTCTTGCCATAGATTTTCAAGCTGATTTAAGTTAAAACTAACTAGGCCACTCAGGGAAATTCAATGTCGTCTTGGTAACTAACTCCAGTGTATATTTGGCCTTGCGTTTTAGGTTATTGTCCTGCTGAAAGGTGGATTTGTCTCACTCTAAGATTTTGCCTGTGCTTAGCTCTATTCCTTTTCTTTTTATCCTAAAAACTCCCTAGTCCTTGCCGATGACAAGCATACCAATAACAAGATGCAGCCACAACCAAGCTTGAAAATATGAAGAGTGGTCTCTGTAGTGACTGGGTGTATTGATACACCATCCAAAGTGTAATTAATAACTTCACCATGCTCAAATGGATATTCAATGTCTGTTGTTGTTGTTTTTTTAACTTCTTTGTGAGGCATTGGAAAACCTCCCTGGTCTTTTTCATTGAATCTGTGCTTGAAATTCACTGCTGGACTGAGGGACATTACAGATAATTGTATTTGTGGGGTACAGAGATGGGGTAGTTATTCACAAATCATGTTCAACACTATTATTGCACACAGAGTTAGTCCATGCAACTTATGTGACTTGTTAAGCACATTTTTACACCTGAAGTTATTTAGGCTTGCCATAACAAAGAGGTTGAATACTTACTGACTTAGATTTCAGCTTTCAAATTTTTTTATTCATTTGTAAAAATTTAACTTAATTCCACTTTGATCTTATGGGGTATTGTATGTAAATCAGTGACACAAAATGTACAGTGGGGGAAAAAAGTATTTAGTCAGCCACCAATTGTGCAAGTTCTCCCACTTAAAAAGATGAGAGAGGCCTGTAATTTTCATCATAGGTACACGTCAACTATGACAGACAAAATGAGAAAAAAATATCCAGAAAATCACATTGTAGGATTTTTAATGAATTTATTTGCAAATGATGGTGGAAAATAAGTATTTGGTCAATAACAAAAGTTTCTCAATACTTTGTTATATACCCTTTGTTGGCAATGACACAGGTCAAACGTTTTCTGTAAGTCTTCACAAGGTTTTCACACACTGTTGCTGGTATTTTGGCCCATTCCTCCATGCAGCTCTCCTCTAGAGCAGTGATGTTTTGGGGCTGTCGCTGGGCAACACGGACTTTCAACTCCCTCCAAAGATTTTCTATGGGGTTGAGATCTGGAAACTGGCTAGGCCACTCCTGGACCTTGAAATGCTTCTTACGAAGCCACTCCTTCGTTGCCCGGGCGGTGTGTTTGGGATCATTGTCATGCTGAAAGACCCAGCCACGTTTCATCTTCAATGCCCTTGCTGATGGAAGGAGGTCTCACGATACATGGCCCCATTCATTCATTCTTTCCTTTACACGGATCAGTCGTCCTGGTCCCTTTGCAGAAAAACAGCCCCAAAGCATGATGTTTCCACCCCCATGCTTCACAGTAGGTATGGTATTCTTTGGATGCAACTCAGCATTCTTTGTCCTCCAAACACGACGAGTTGAGTTTTTACCAAAAAGTTATATTTTGGTTTCATCTGACCATATGACATTCTCCCAATCCTCTTCTGGATCATCCAAATGCACTCTAGCAAACTTCAGACGGGCCTGGACATGTACAGGCTTAAGCAGGGGGACACGTCTGGCACTGCAGGATTTGAGTCCCTGGCGGCGTAGTGTGTTACTGATGGTAGGCTTTGTTACTTTGGTCCCAGCTCTCTGCAGGTCATTCACTAGGTCCCCCCGTGTGGTTCTGGGATTTTTGCTCACCGTTCTTGTGATCATTTTGACCCCACGGGGTGAGATCTTGCGTGGAGCCCCAGATCGAGGGAGATTATCAGTGGTCTTGTATGTCTTCCATTTCCTAATAATTGCTCCCACAGTTGATTTCTTCAAACCAAGCTGCTTACCTATTGCAGATTCAGTCTTCCCAGCCTGGTGCAGGTCTACAATTTTGTTTCTGGTGTCCTTTGACAGCTCTTTGGTCTTGGCCATAGTGGAGTTTGGAGTGTGACTGTTTGAGGTTGTGGACAGGTGTCTTTTATACTGATAACAAGTTCAAACAGGTGCCATTAATACAGGTAACGAGTGGAGGACAGAGGAGCCTCTTAAAGAATAAGTTACAGGTCTGTGAGAGCCAGAAATCTTGCTTGTTTGTAGGTGACCAAATACTTATTTTCCACCATCATTTGCAAATAAATTCATAAAAAATCCTACAATGTGATTTTCTGGAATTTTTTTCTCTCCATTCGTCTGTCATAGTTGATGTGTACCTATGATGAAAATTACAGGCCTCTCTCATCTTTTTAAGTGGGAGAACTTGCATAATTGGTGGCTGACTAAATACTTTTTTCCCCCACTGTAAATGTAATCAATTTTAAATTCAGGCTGTAACACAACAAAATCTGGAAAAAGTCAAGGGGTATGAATTCTTTCTGAATGCACTGTACATGCTTATGTTCCTCAGTCTTCAAAACAATTACATGGGATTTGATTTAGTCAGGAATGTTGTTATGGGAGGTAATTTACCAGAGAGAGCAAGAGCGATAGATAGGTAGACAGCTGGTGAGCTGTGAGCCTGGGCCCCTCCTGTCCCAGTGGGCCTGATTAAAGCGTTGGTGGAGTGGAAAGTGGGGTGGTCTACAGCCCTGACTGGCCCTCAATGGGATCCGCTTTCAGGGTACAGGGAACAGGAAAACCCCCACTACCAGGCAAACACACACGTGCGTGCACACAGTCCCTCACAAACCGACATACTGTATATAACATAATTTGTACATTTTGATGTTTCATTACATAGGGCATGATCTAGGGATCAACATTTTTTCTGTAGCATATCATTGATGCATTATGTGTATACATGATATGTGACTGACTATATTATATTTTAAACAACCATTTGGTGGTGACTCATGCATGGCATGGTCTCGCTGGCTGTGTGGGTTGGGTTGTGTAGGGAGGACTCCTGGAGGCACAGATGGTCCTCAGTCAACAGGCCCAGCGGAGACGGAGAGCCCACCAGAGACGAGTCCGAGAGCAGTGGGTCCACGAGAGGACCATCTACACAGATAATGGTGAGACTGGATACATTTTGTTAATCTGGCTGACACCAAACTCAGTCTTCCTGACTGCAGTGTCACAGCTCTCCCTCGATGTGTACCACGTGAGTCGCTTCAGCCAGGCTAACATTTTTTTTACCACCAACTTGAACATGTTCTAAGTTATGCGTACAATCCACAGGGCTCTAGTACTTAAATAGATTGTGTACTTTACTTACTTTATTATTGTGTTGCTCCCTTGGCCTTTGTAGTTGGAGGACCTAGCAGCAAAGGGATACCGAGACTGCATTTGCTGAACAGGCCAACCCAAAAGGACATATTTTGGGATGAGATGACAGGAGAGAGCCTTGACCTCAAGGAGATCCTCCAACCAAGCCCCCTTCCCCTGGAGCAGGGAGAGAGCCAGCAGTCCCAGCCTGGACCACCACAGTGCCTTTGTCGGGATGAGGAGCTGATCAACAGAGACCTGGCTTGGGGAGGCCTCAGGAGTCCTCACTGGAAAACCAATACTCTCACAGACAGAGTGGCAGGGGAGACAGATGGTGGACTGACCATGAGGAAAACCTTACCTTGGATGCTGGACTGGAAGACAGAGAAACAAAGAGATCCAATTCCCAAACACTTGAGCTCTTTGGGAGATAGTGAGAGGGCTAGTAGGTGGCCTCTGAGAGAAGGCATTAGAGGTCTTTGTCATGGGGAGAGAGGGATTTGGGAACCTGACCTGGACTAGGAGCTGTTTGTGAGGTGTACTAATCTGGATTAGACCAGATCTCCAATCTCAGTTTGCGAAATGCTAATGGTCTATTGATGGTCACTTCATTTTGAAAAGCAGAAATTGTAGCCAGTTTATCTTTTAAACTGTTAGCATTTTTACTGTATGACGACATGGCAAACTAAAATATTGGTTTGTCATAACCAAAGTATTTCAGAAAATGTGTCCACCACCAGTGTTAAACTATCACCTGAATGTATTCATAGGATTGCTTCATTAGAATAGCAGCTGTGGTTAAAGTAAGTCTCATTATGGGAACAAATCTGTTTTCCATAACAAATAAATGTGTTTATGACAGTGAATCAGTGTGTATGATTATTCCAGCCTGTTTGAAGAAAGTGTGTGGCGCCCTCTAGGGATGATAGTGATACTACAGGTGTGGAAAGGACTAAAATGAGCTTGACACAACACCAGCATAATGTTCAGAAGGTGAGAAAGCACATTAAAATACATTTGGCTTTTCGATTTTATGTCCGTCATGATTAATAATACATGGCATTTATATAGTGCTTTTCAAGGATCCAAAGTCGCTTTAACGTTGTTAATCTATAAAACAATCGAAAATGGACAGATAAAATACTGACCCCACCAAAAAGTACAATCCCAATAATGAATTACCAAATACTTTGTCCATCTTGTCCAAATTGAAAGGTGTCTTGCGATATACTTTTGAAAGAAGCCCCACAGAGGCCATAAAATATATCTGACCATGTTTTGTTTGACGTCTTCAAGACCTCTAGACTCAATGGTACCGAGCCAAAAATGGGTACGTACAAATGGTACAAACTTATTTCCCTCAATGACCGTTTAATTTAGCTTCAAAGATCATGTATTTTCAAAATTATCTTTGGGATTGATATTTTGTTTAATGAGAAGCACATTGAAGAGCTCTTATGTTCCCCAATTCCCTTCAACATTGAAAATATCTATTGTACTTCAGGGCTCCTTTTACCCTAACAGGAAATTGCTTATTGCAGAAATCCTCTCCACCTTTATGAAAACCCTGATGGAAGCTCTTAGCAGGACTAGAGAGACAGAGTAGAACTGGCCAGCTACCACACACCTGGGGCCACAGTGGTGAACACACAACAAGACAAGGGACAGCTGCATTTTGTTCTTGAATCGAGTGAGCGGTATCCTCTTTTCCTATGACTTCTGAAACATTTAGGCTGTATAGCCCCTATAAATGGCTTTATGAAGACATTCAGTTTGCATAGTCTTACTCTTCTTCCCAACTTGTTTTTAGTCCTCTAATAAAAAAACAAAAGGACAGAGGCAAGCTGTTGTTTTGTTTGTAATTGATTTAGTTTGGTACAGGTCAAGGGCTAGGGTGTGTTATTTTCAGTTCATTTCCACTGGCCACTAAAATGCCAAAAGTATTCCCAATCCACCAAAGAAAACTGTGGTACGTGTCTCCAATTTTCCTTCATGATCTTGCTGGATTTTCTGTGGCTTTGATGTTTCCCTTGTAGGGAGGACGTTTGTTCCTGAGACTGGGAGAAATAGGCCAGAGACACTGACTGCATTGTTACCGGAGCCACAGTTTGAGCCGTAGAGCATCCACTCCATTTAAATAGTATTGGAAGAGCCTCTTGTCCCTCACAAAGCCCAGGTTCTCATACAGTTTCTGGGCTGATTGGTTGGTGATCTCAGTCTCCAGCACCACCTGTTAAAGTCAACAAAATCAAGTAATTTGTAAGAGATTGTTACCTCTATCTCAATTCTGAATACTATACAACAACATGGTATTCAATGGCATTTTCAGTTTCAAATGTGCATTGGTGGAATGAGATTAGAATCAAGCTTAAACCTGTCACTGTTTATGGTAAAGAGTGTGGCCTGTTATCTTCTAGTTAAAATGTGGCCTAATGCAAGGTGAATGATTTTTGTGTGGGGGGGTGGATACTGCTCGAAACTAAAAATGTAATTGAACTATATTTAACAATCAATTTTCGCTATAGTCCTTTCAAATACTTAACACAGAAATGTATTACCCCTCAACAGTTTTCTTAATCTTAGCCTAGCTAGTCATTTTTTAATCACCCAAGTTTGGTAGCTTATGCTGTTGCATGCACTTTCTGGCCATGGGTATGGTGTGTTCATATTTTTTTATTTAACCTTTATTTAACCAGGAAAAGCCCATTGAGACCCAGTCTTTTTCAAGGGAGACCTGGCCAAGAAGGCAGACAATCAATACATTACAGAATTAGAACATACAACAATACAACAACATGATCCAGCCTAAAAAAAAAGCATTTATGCTACTCTGTAACAGAGTCTCCCATCAACATTTTAAATTCATTCAGTGGCACTAACATATCTAGATAAGCATGGATTGTAGACTATTCCATGCCTCTGGTGCACAAGACGAGAAGGCAGTCTTGCCTAATACTGGAAATGTCCTGGGGACTTGAAGTAGCAACCACCTAACAGACTGGGTATGGTAACTGATGGTGGTGAAGGAGACCAGACTACAGAGGTAAAGAGGGAGTTTACCCAAAAGGGCTTTGTAGATGAACACATACAAATGTACGTAGCTTTCTGCGCATATAAAGTGAGGTCCAACCCACCATTTGGTACAAGGTGCAATGGTGGGTGAGTGACTTGGCATTTCTAATAAAGCACAAGGATACATGATAAACAGAGTCCAGTCTCTGTATCACTGGTCAAACGTTCTCATAAAAGGTCCGTGCGCAAAGCCTCAGGAGCAAATGAGTTTGGTAAAGGCATTGACATCATTTTTACATGCAAATCTGATTGGATACAGCATTTGATTATTGAAATATCAGCCCCAATTTAACTTCAGAGTTGCTTTTTTCTTTCTGAGGACTAATCAGGGATATTTTCTGGTACAGCTTTAGCTGGGGACAGGCTACCAAAATCAGGGACTGTCCCTGGAAATCGGGGACGTCTGGCCACACTTGCCTAATGTCTTCCAGGGTAGATGATTATGTAAAAAAAAAACATACCTCATCACAGTCCTCATCCATCATAGCATAGATAGCCTTTTTGACTAGATATGTACCTGAAATGACAGGAGTGATGACAGGTTAGAGGTAAACATGAAACAGTATGATAACTCCACAGTCTTGGAGATCCTCCTAATGCCCACTTACCAATGCCTTTCCTCCGGTATCTGGAGTCCACAGCCAGCATGGCAATGTAGCCACGGTGAATCTTCTTGTGCATATCCAGTTTGCACACAATGGCACCAACACAATCCTTATCCACCATCGCCTGTAGCACAGAGAGGTAAAACAGCTCATTATCTACTGGCTGGCAGATGTGTAGGCTTTTGCTCCAGCCCTGCAAAAACAAACCATATTCAGCCCTGAGCATAGCCTGGTAGTGGCAAGCTACTGTACATGATCAGTTAATAAACACATACAACTTTATAGCCGATTAAACTAAACTCCACGATTTAAGATGGAGTTGAGCTATTACTAGTGTGGGCGGACTGGAGATCCGACGTCACATAAAATGACGTTTTTTGTTGTTGTTTTTTGTACCGATTTCAGCACCCAAAGTAAAGAATTATCCGCAATTACAAACGACATTGTTATTTTATGTGATGTCGGAGCTCCAGTTCGCCTAAACGAGTCGCCACTCAACTCCATCGTAAATCGTGGAGTTGAGTTTAGTCAGCTAACGTTAGCTAACAACTTTATAGCTCTACGTACCAGGAAGCAGAGTTGAGGCCAGTTATGAATGAAATACCTATATGTATAAATCGAATAAGGCTCTGACAAGTCCTTGGTAATAAGCCTTTTGATGTCTGACATTTGCAGTTCAGACTCGTATGGTACGTATTCCACGTCTCCCTCTATGTTTGAACATAACCCAAGCCTTCTCAGTTCTTCCACAATAACTTGAGAGGTGACAGTGGCAGCAAGCGCGGATGCCACCAAATCTTCTTCAGCACACAGCGTCCCGAGGTCTTCCCTGTCTCCCTCCATCACCACCACTTCTTTGCTGCATGTTAGCTCCCCGTCGAGACTGCTTGAATCTATTTCAGCTATTCCCATGGTTGGCATGTTGTTGTTGATTTCGTTATTGTTCGCATGCAGACAGTGCGATTAGCCAGCTAACGTTAGCTAGAACGAAAAAAGTTGCTTTGACGGTTAAAGTTGCCACGAGTTGCGAATCTTTTGTTTTTAAAGTATATCATGTCTTTTCTGTAGCTAACCCAACTCATGTACTGTAGCTAACTAATAACTACTAAAGTTTGTTGCTAGGCTAGCTTCTGCCTGTCAAAATGATTGCTGCCGTAAAGCATGCACTGTGCGAAAAACAACTTTACGACACTCATAGAAGTCCGTTTGCTTACGAGTCGCATACAAATCTTAGGAACAGTGTTGTTGTAATGTCAAGAACAAGAAGTCTAAAAATGTTATGAAATAATTGAATGAAGAATAAGACATATCTATAAATCCAAATTAAGTTATTTTTATAGTGCGACACACCGACAGAACTCAATAACATGTTCTCTAGCCCTACCACTGGGTGTCGTAGTATGCTTGACAGTGTGAAGAAAAGGACATATCACTATGTAGATCAGTCTTGGTCCCTGGGCCATATACATATATATTATACCATTATATATTGGTAATGGATCACAAATTAAGAGTTTTTTTGTTTTTGTGAGCAAATCAATGTGGTGCGCCCTTTCTTGTGTTCTGTATAATATTATGTGGGTTCCACAGGTGAGCGCAAAGATGATCAAAAGAGAAAAACCATGCATGTTCATAAAACTAGTAGGCTTACTATTTGATAAACAAGTCAATGTATCAAATCAATTGCTTCAAAACATCTCCCAAAATGCAGCATCTCAATTTAGTTGTGTGATATGTGGGTTCAAGGCTTCTAGCAGAGGCTCGTTAAAATGTGCCCATTCATTTAGCAAGCCTTATTTAACCAACAATGCCATGTCTGCCAGTACAAACCCAGTGACTGCACAGACTCCAGGAGCCAGGCTGACAAGCTCAAGAGCTTTGGAGCAGTCTGCCCCTTCAAAAAAACTTTTCCAGTTCAGTACACACACACTGGGTCTTAAAGCCAAATCAATGTGGAGGGAGGGACGGCTCAGAGGTCCTGGTGTCTGCCACAGCATACTGCTACATAAAAAGAAGGTGAAGGATGCCCTGTGAGCAATTGGTTCCAATTGACAGAGGATTGGTCATGGTCAGTCTTCTGGGTGGAAATTCACATGAGAATGTTGCAATTGCACCAGCAAGGGGGGCAAGAGAGGCCAGTGCTGGACAATAGAACACTCAGAAGAATCTGGCTGCAGTGGAACACACTCAAAGTGGATCACAATCTCCCCCTGCTTTAACCCTTCAACTACCAGATGTTCACATACTTAGCAGTGTCTATATGACCAATATACTGTTTACCTTGCTTACTAAAGACAGGCTATTGTATGTCTTGGGAAACACAGCTTGGTTAAGTTGAGGACACTTAGAAATATCATCCACAGATGTCTGAGCAGGGAAATAGTCTAGGGGGACTCTTAAGACGTGTTTTGTAGACACATACACTACCGGTCAAACGTTTTAGAGCACCTACTCATTCAAGGGTTTTTCTTTATTTTTACTATTTCCGACATTGTAGAATAATAGTGAAGACATCAAAACTATGAAATAACACATATGGAATCATGTAGTAACCATAAAAGTGTTATACAAATCAAAATATAGTGCCCAGCATATGTGGGAACTCCTTCAAGACTGTTGGAAAAGCATTCCAGGTGAAGCTGGTTGAGAGAATGCCAAGAGTGTGCAAAGCTGTCATCAATGCAAAGGGTGGCTATTTGAAGAATATAAAATATATTTTGATTTGTATAACACTTTTTTGGTTACTACATGATTCCATATGTGTTATTTCATAGTTTTGATATCTTCACTATTATTCTACAATGTAGAAAATAGTAACAAATAAAGAAAAACCCTTGAATGTGTAGGTGTTCTAAAACTTTTGACCGGTAGTGTACATGTATGCCTATGCATTTTATTTTAATTGACAGGACTTTCTTATCATGGTCATGTGTGGATGAGCTGTACTCTAACCAAATTGCAATTATGATTTGAATCCGACCCTTATGATGAACCGATTTTTGTCATGCAATATTTAAGGAGGCCACCACACCCTGTTTCTCTTTACAAGTGTTTCTCCAATTAGCCAGTCATCTGGCCAGCTGGGGGTGGTGGGGGCCTCAACTTTTTAGAGGGTGGTTCAGTGCTCCATCTCAGGCTGGAGAGGCTGGGTATTTGAAGAGGCCACTGGCTGACAGGCAGTGCAGTCAGAGGGGGGACCAGCGAGACCTGCCAGTTCTCCTGACGGGCTCTTTGTGCCACAGACGCTGCCCAGATCAGCCTACCCTTTCACAGCCCAAGCCCCATCTCCCACAGGACCTAAGCTCCAGCCGACGACAAGGCCCCAGCTGCTAATTATCTGGCTGATGGAGAGGCACTGAAGTGGGACTGTCAGAGCAAGGGTGGCCCCTCTCGCTAAAGAGATGTTGCCAGTGGAGTGGGATGGCCAAACATTTCCAAAATAAAGGAACTGGCAGCAAACATACACAAATGCAGACATTATTGTATAAACGTCAATATTTAATTGCAATAATTCAATATTTTGTCTTTCCAGTAATAATACTCTTTACTAAGATTCAGTTGAATAACCATTATCTGTATTTAAAGCTAGAATCCTTAGTAGCTACATCAATTTTTGTATACCGATTGATTCTTGAAGAATATAACTTATAAATGACTCATGAGCTTAGTTCAACGGTCGTACCCCATTAGAACAAAAAATATACGCTTGTTTTACTCCAATGTTTGTAAACAATGTTTTTTTTAAAGCACTGTATAGCCTCAAAACATAGTTAAAACTATAATTGTGATATCATGGATAGTCAGTCCTTGCAACCATAGCTATGTCTATGATTTTGGGAGTGGTTACATTTCTCCAGGCCCATCCCTCAGCTTTTTACCAAAACAGAGGTGGGGTGGCCACTTTGTTATTGTTTCAATTAAGGATTCTAGCTTTAAGGCATATTCTTTCACAGAAAATTGATTGGTCTGTGTTCAGTATGGATGAGAAACTGCATTTTGCATCTTAGATGAGACCAAGACTGTCAGAACAACAGCAGATACAAACCATTCAGTTACAGCACTTTGACCATTGGGTTCATAATGTCAGATGCGTCTGTTACACAGAGTCAAACCTGGTCACCAGAATCCAAAGCAGTGTCTGTTGTCCTGTAGTGATATTGTGCTCTGGAGATCCATCATGTGTTTGGCCCATCCCAGATATGGACGAAGTAGTCATTTCCTTGATGCTGGTCTATACTGTACAGTTCCATTCTACAGCATCATGTGTCCAGAGGACACTGGTGCAGTTCCAGTTGAGTTCCAGATATAGTATTCTGAGGATAACAGCTCCCGGGCTGCAGAGAGAAGAGAGAGCGCACATTCAGGCGTCACACTTTACAAATACATATTTTTTAATAGAAAATTATGAAACTAGCATTAGAACCCAAATCTCTCACTCACATGTGACTATGCGAGGTTTTGCAGAGGAATAGACCTGCACTGAATGCTGGTCCACACAGCATCCAGACAGAGTCAAGTCTGGCACTCGGAAGTACAACTGAAAAACATTAAGGAAACGTTTTTCTGGTATGCTTGGTTTTAGATGCATCTCCATTGTCTAGAAAGAATCTGACTTACTTTGATGTAGGCTGTAAGGTCTGTGCAGAGAGGATCTGTAGGTCCTGGGAGCTGCCCTGAAAAACTCACACTGCCCTCTAGTGACACCTCAAGGGACTTGGGGAACTTCTGGCCTAAGAGTGGCAGGGCAGAATAGGGACGTTGTTTTTCCATAAACAAAAGGTATTTGAAACTTAAATATGTGTTAAACTGGGTCATTGCACAGTGTAAATGTTGTCGCCAGACCAATGAGACGTACCGAGGACCCAGACCAGCAGGTTCTTCTCCTTGGACACCTCCAGCTGTCCTGAGCTCACTTTCACATCCACACTACCCATCTGGTCCCTGCAAGGACACAGGGGTCAGAGTACCAGAGGTTAAACTTAACCTCAAGTCAAGATGTGTTTCTTTACAAGATTACAGAAACACTGCATTTCAAGTGATGATTATGTGTAATAAGCTACTATATTGACATCAGGAAGTGCATCATCAATGTGAGATGTTATGTATTGTGTTTATATGTCCATAGGTTACCTGTTAAAGAACGGCAGATGTGCCTCACAGTACTCAAAGCTGTTCCTCACACTCTCGTGAAGTTTGAGACTCACAGTCATACGCAACTGGTTGTCATCCTCCTTCAGCTGATAGGTGCCTAGGATGGGAGGCACGGGGACCTGAGAAAATACAGCATTAAATCTGACATGAGATGAAGACAGCAATGTATGAAGGAGTGAATGCATGTATTTAGCTATGTTTACAAGCTCTGGACTTGTGTACCTGAGATGTGTAGCTGCAGAGCCTGAAAGGCTCAAGGGGAGGGGAGAAGGGGAACTTGTAGGGGCCAGAGAAAGCAGAGCTGTCACAGTCCTCAACACTGATGGCGGTCAGAATACTGGCATCCAGTGAAGACACACAAGGGTGGACCAGGACATCCATCAGTGGTGAGCCATTGGGTGGCAGGGTGAGAGTGACCGTCACATTGGGAAGAACCCCTTCCACTTCACACTGATGACGCAAAGGGAAAAAGCACAAATGGGTTTGAGAAAATGAGTAGACAGCAGAAGGTAACAAGAAGCTTTAGCATTACATTACCATAGACATAGACAGTATTACTGTGCTCACCTTGCAAGTCACTGTGCCGTAGACATCCCAGAGATCCTGCCTGTTTCGGTTTCCATACTGCATGGAGCGCACCATCTCCGTTAGAGCTACATTCACCACAGCCCGACCACGGTGAAGCCCTGTTTTCCAGGCTGGCTGTTTCTGGGTCCCTGCAGGAGTGGGCAATGCTGATGCTGATGAGGCCCCTGGCTGAGGGATGTCCTGTGGGGTCCCAAGGGGGCAGACCTGCAGGAGGATAGAGGGCATCATGGCCAGGCGAGAGGTGAGCCCCTCTCTGTCAGGCTTACTCCCAGACCCACAGAGGAAAGCCTGCAGGCCTGCCAACAGTGTGAGGCCCTGGGAGACAGAGAACAGGCTGGCCAGAGGAGGCCGTGGATCAGCGGGGGCATCCACCAGGGCTAGACAGGCCAGGATCAGAGGCCCCTGGGAGATGACCAACACTGGCCAAAGGACCCCTCCACTGGGGCCTTCCACATGGAGCTCCAAGGCTGGTGAGCGCTGCTGGTGGAGACAGTCATCTCGTAGAGCCATGTAGGGTTTGTCAGGGTCTGACAGGCCCAGCTCAGTGAGTAGGAGCTGGAGCACAGTGCCATCCTCTGGGACAGACACATACAATGAGCCGGCCATACACTTAGCACGCTTCTCCACTGTTGGGTATCGCCTGTGTGAGAAGAAGCCAACACTTTTACCTACTATTTACATAGCCAAAAACAGCAATACAGGACAGGTGTGAAGTAACATATACATATATATACACACATACATACATATATATATATAACATGATGACATAACGTTTTACGTACAATCAGACAATGGAAGGGAAAAACATTACAAACCTGGAAAAGCGCACTGCTACAGATTCTCCCCTCTCGTAAGATATAATCCACAATGCCCTCACACTCATTTTGGCCAGAAAAAAATGCCTATGATTGACAGGTTATGCATACATATGATAACCACGTTTCTTCGGTGATAGGTCTATGAGGAAAATCTTAGTAGTAGTAGTCCAACAAAGGGGGACATTATAACATTTTGCCTCATTTTAAACTTCCACGACTGAGTTTTCATCGATGTTCTGTTCTGTTTTCGTTGCAGCATGAACTTCCTATTTTTACAATCATGTGACAGCCTGAACCAATCAGGAAACTTTTGCGCATGTGTGTTTACGCAGTGTACCTTCCGGGGTGTCGGTAGTTACCACAGCCACAAAGTCACAATTGGCTATATTGTAAAAATTCAAGAATTGTTTTGGTTGCTTTTTGGTATTAATTTAAGGTTAGGGTTAGGCATAAGGTTAGCAGTGTGGGTAACGTTAGGGTTAGGTTTAAAATCAGATTTTAAGAAGTTAAATTGTAGAAATGGGCGGGGTCTAGTCATAATAATGGGCACGTTCGACATTGCAGCCGACTTTAAAGGCGAGTCGAGCCTGACTGATTTACAAATCCCCTTGCAGCCTAAATAACTACTCAATATTATTTATCGATCAGTCAGTCAGTCACAATTTACCCATGATACACCACGGGTTTGACGCTCTCGAATACGGCCTATGACTTTTTGGCTGTGGAAACTAGTGACGACCCGGAAGTAGAGCTGTTAAATTTATCAACAAAGGGCAAAACGTAAATCCAGCTGATCAATTAGTCGGCTGTCATACCCGACTGTTAGTTTGTATGAACTGCAATTTGTACATTGCAGATCTAAGTAGAACATGGCAACGACTCCTCAACTATTCGAGGTAAAATAAACTGTATGTTCCCTTGGCCTTGGACTAGCTAACATTGGTGCTAGCTAGCTAGGAGAAGTAAGAGCAAGCCAACCCCATGTTTAAACCTTAGCTGGGTAGCGTTAGTTGAAATGTAAAATGTCTTATTTTAGGCTAACTAGCTAGCCATATATAGCTATAAGGATTGGAAATTGTGCCTCAGCTAGGAAGTTGCCTTGCCAGCAGATCCAACCCGCTTGCTTACAGCTGCACTAGGGTCGGATAGGCTTCCTGTGTAGGTTACGACACCGCAGAGCCTGCGCGAGATAAGGCTCGGAAAACGTACTTCAAAACAGGGATGAGAAATGCGGTATACTCCAAATTGTCCCAATATCACAACTGTTACACCGATACAATTCGGAGTACAATGCATTTCCCAGGAGTGAGGTACGTTTTCCGAACCATATCTCGCGCCGGCTCCGTGGTGTCTTAACCTACACAGGAAGCCTATCCGACCCTAGTGCAGTTGTAAGCAAGCTGGTCGGATCTGCTGGTTAGGAAGTTGCCCAGCTGTCCATTAGCTAGCTACGTTACCACTTTTTAGCCAGCTAGCACTGACAGCTAGCTAACCAGCTAGCTACTGTAGTGTTCACCCAGCAGGCAGATGTTGACGATGTGATCATTTGTCAATCATGATGTATGTTGACCAGAGGGGTATACTACAAAGTAGGTTCAGTGAGTTAAACAGCTAACGTTGATAAACAACCAGAAATAACCGATTTATGTTGGTTAATTAAGAAAGCTAAACTAATGTATTTTTGGTTGTTGAGTCGGAGACCATGCCCATTTCAAGCTTATCTTTTAAAAAAAAGTTATTTCAGAACATTTAGACAAGTTAGCTGGCTAACTCATTGCAGCTGCTTTGTACTATACCCCTCAGCTGTACCTTTCCGATTTGTGATTGTTACCAACGTTACCTCTAGCGGCTCTATGTCTTATGTTATTGCTTAAATTACTGGTTTACAGTGGCATTGGCTAGGTCGTTTCTCACGCCCCTAGTTATCAATGTAGTTCAACTAGTAATTTAATTACATTTTTCAATAGCTTGGTGGTGGTTGAACTAAATACAAATCTTGGTAGTTTATTACTTTTTTGCCATGTTTTGGTGTAGCTAACTAACGTTACTGTAACTACACACTACTTTTTTGCAAAAAGAAAAGATGGGTGAAGTAGGAAAGAATTTCTTTCTTTTTTGGCCTCAGACCTGCCTAATTATCACTTGAAACACTGCCTAATTCTAACTTTTTGTGTTAAATAGGCTAAATCACACATTCTGTTAACATCTGACTACAGTGATCTGTTCTTGCAATTTGTATTATGACATTTCAGATTTAGATGTTATTTTTTCACGAAGTATTTTTTTCACAGTAACTTTAGTTAAGTAAACTATATTTTTCTTAAGGGTAGTTTTAGTGTAGCTTAACTTCTTCCAGTGTGAAGTAATTGGTAGCTTGGTAAACTATATGTTCAGAGTAGCTTCCCCAAAACTGCTAGTTATAAGCATTGAAACCATGTAGCCAGCTAACTACTGGAGTGCACCTGTAATCAATCATTGACCATTTGACACAACAAGGGTTAATGTATGCCATGGTCTAGCCGACTAAACTCAACGATTTACAATGGAGTTGAGCAGCGACTAGTGTGGGCAGACTGGAGCTCCGACATGACATAAAATTAAGTTTTTATAAAAAACTACTGATTTCAACACCCAGAGATTAGCCCACAATTATACAGTCGTTGAGTTTAGTCGGCTAGCCATTGTCCAATATTGCTAATGTCATGTCCCATGCTCACCATTTATCTAAGAAAGTCTTGACAGGACAGAGATTGACACTGTCTGTGTGTGCTTGATCCACAGGAGCCCTTTGATGCAGATGAGTACATAGAGAGGTTGGCCTGGAGAACCCCTGGAGGAGGGTCCAAAGGCGGAGCTGAGGCATTCGACCCCAAAAGGTAGTCTTGTACTAAAGACATGGCTTTATTGAAAGTTACCGTAATCATGACTCTTGACCACTTGTCGAAACACTAACTAACCCAAACCCCTACCACCAGCCTAATCTTGATCAACCAGCAGCCAATCCCCTGTCTTTTTGCAGGTCCTTGTGCTTCCCCTTTTAAGACCCTTACCTTTGTTTCAGCCTTATCCCCCTTTCTTAAAGCTCTAGTCCCAACCATACAGCAAGTTCTATTTAAACCTCCAGTGAAGATAACTCAGAGGCAGTGCGTAATGGGAGGCCACCAAGCTCTGAGTCATACAGTAACTGACAGTAAGGGAATGAATGTGCATTAGGAAGGGATGGGAGATGTCCCTAAGCTGTAGCCACTGCTGCGGGAATTAGCTAAGAGATTATATACTCATCATTTTGGGATGTTTCCTAGTCTGTTAAATATGGTGCTGACTTAGAACATTTGCTCCACAGTCCTTACTTTAAATGCAGCTGACGAAGCTCCCATTTTGTAGAGCTTCTTAAATCTGGGGACCCAAGAATTAAGCCCTCAATACTATGTATAAATATTAACTGAATGAGTGTAAGGTTAGTACAGTGGTCACCAACCGGTCGATCGCAATCTTCAAGGCATTCCTAGTCGATCACCAAACATTTCTGTAGAAAAGTCAACGATAAAGCCTTGCGCTCCTATGTTTAAAAATGTTTTTGTCTTGCTCTGTTGGCGGTAGGTACATTTGATTCAGAAGCCCTGCAAGCCTGGTAGGCAAAGTGTACCCATTTTGAACCATTTCATTTGTCTGGAAGGACACACTGCCTACCCAGCAGACCAGGAAAGCTAAATCAAGTGTGCCTACTGCGCTGTCCAGTCTGATAGCTAAAATCACCGTGCCTACAGCTTCCACAACCCCACAACAAAGTTTGATACTAACCTAGGTGAGATTTCATAACTTTTAAAACCATGACCAGAGAGAGACTGTCAAAGAATACAGCGAAGAGCTGCTGTTTTTATGAGTGAGTTCATGTTTAAGTTTTTATTCAGCACTGTCAACACTGTTTTTATTCAACCCTTTTACAAAACATAAATGTGCTTCTCCCTGCTTCCACTCACGCTGCAGCTGCAATTAATGAGTATCGATAGGCCTGCGTTTTTTATTATTAGCAGCTCGTCGTGTCTATTTTAATATCGAGGAATATTTCACTTTCTCTGGTCATAGGAAGAACATGAATTTGTGCATGAGGCAGAAATATGATGTCCCCTCTCTCTAGTCAGTCTCACCGGAGGAAAGGAGAGAGCAGGGACCGTGAGAGGCAGATCCTCTGCTGCTCTCTCCCTCCGCTGAGACTGACCATCGGATGCATGCACCATCACTCCAGTAAAATAAAAACGCTAATTATGTAAATGTATGCTCTGCTGTGCCTCGCAAGTGATACAACAACTGATCTACACTGCTCAAAAAAATAAAGGGAACACTTAAACAACACAATGTAACTCCAAGTCAATCACACTTCTGTGAAATCAAACTGTCCACTTAGGAAGCAACACTGATTGACAATGCATTTCACATGCTGTTGTGCAAATGGAATAGACAACAGGTGGAAATGATAGGCAATTAGCAAGACACCCCCAATAAAGAAGTGGTTCTGCAGGTGGTGACCACAGACCACTTCTCAGTTCCTATGCTTCCTGGCTGATGTTTTGGTCACTTTTGAATGCTTGCGGTGCTTTCACTCTAGTGGTAGCATGAGACGGAGTCTACAACCCACACAAGTGGCTCAGGTAGTGCAGCTCATCCAGGATGGCACATCAATGCGAGCTGTGGCAAGAAGGTTTGCTGTGTCTGTCAGCGTAGTGTCCAGAGCATGGAGGCGCTACCAGGAGACAGGCCAGTACATCAGGAAACGTGGAGGAGGCCGTAGGAGGGCAACAACCCAGCAGCAGGACCGCTACCTCCGCCTTTGTGCAAAGAGGGGCAGGAGGAGCACTGCCAGAGCCCTGCAAAATGACCTCCAGCAGGCCACAAATGTGCATGTCTGCTCAAACGGTCAGAAACAGACTCCATGAGGGTGGTATGAGGGCCCGACGTCCACAGGTGGGGGTTGTGCTTACAGCCCAACACCGTGCAGGACATTTGGCATTTGCCAGAGAACACCAAGATTGGCAAATTCGCCACTTGCGCCCTGTGCTCTTCACAGATGAAAGCAGGTTCACACTGAGCACATGTGACAGACGTGACAGAGTCTGGAGACGCCGTGGAGAACGTTCTGCTGCCTGCAACATCCTCCAGCATGACCGGTTTGGCGGTGGATCAGTCATGGTGTGGGGTGGCATTTCTTTGGGCTCGCCAGAGGTAGCCTGACTGCCATTAGGTACCGAGATGAGATCCTCAGACCCCTTGTGAGACCATATGCTGGTGCGGTTGGCCCTGTGTTCCTCCTAATGCAAGACAATGCTAGACCTCATGTGGCTGGAGTGTGTCAGCAGTTCCTGCAAGAGGAAGACATTGATGCTATGGACTGGCCCGCCCGTTCCCCAGACCTGAATCCAATTGAGCACATCTGGGACATCATGTCTCGCTCCATCCACCAATGCCACGTTGCACCACATACTGTCCAGGAGTTGGCGGATGCTTTAGTCCAGGTCTGGGAGGAGATCCCTCAGGAGACCATCCGCCACCTCATCAGGAGCATGCCCAGGCGTTGTAAGGAGGTCATACAGGCACGTGGAGGCCACACACACTACTGAGCCTCATTTTGACTTGTTTTAAGGACATTACATAAAAGTTGGATCACCCTGTAGTGTGGTTTTCCACTTTAATTTTAAGGGTGACTCCAAATCCAGACCTCCATGGGTTGATACATTTGATTTCCATTGATAATTTGTGTGTGGTTTTGTTGTCAGCACATTCAACTATGTAAAGAAAAAAGTATTTAATAAGATTATTTCATTCATTCAGATCTAGGATGTGTTGTTTAAGTGTTCCCTTTATTTTTTTGAGCAGTGTATTTTGTTATCAAACCTCGAGTTTTGAAATATACAGTGAGGGAAAAAAGTATTTGATCCCCTGCTGATTTTGTACGTTTGCCCACTGACAAAGAAATGATCAGTCTATAATTTTAATGGTAGGTTTATTTGAACAGTGAGGGACAGAATAACAACAACAAAAATCCAGAAAAACGCATGTCAAAAATGTTATAAATTGATTTGCATTTTAATGAGGGAAATAAGTATTTGACCCCTCTGCAAAACATGACTTAGTACTTGGTGGCAAAACCCTTGTTGGCAATCAGAGGTCAGACGTTTCTTGTAGTTGGCCACCAGGTTTGCACACATCTCAGGAGGGATTTTGTTCCACTCCTCTTTGCAGATCATCTCCAAGTCATTAAGGTTTCGAGGCTGACGTTTGGCAACTCGAACCTTCAGCTTTTCCACAGATTTTCTATGGGAAGGTCTGGAGACTGGCTAGGCCACTCCAGGACCTTAATGTGCTTCTTCTTGAGCCACTCCTTTGTTGCCTTGGCTGTGTGTTTTGGGTCATTGTCATGCTGGAATAAACATCCACGACCCATTTAATGCCCTGGCTGAGGGTAAGAGGTTCTCACACAAGATTTGATGGTACATGGCCCCGTCCATCGTCCCTTTGATGCGGTGAAGTTGTCCTGTCCCCTTAGCAGAAAAACACCCCCAAAGCATAATGTTTCCACCTCCATGTTTGACGGTGGGGATGGTGTTCTTGGGGTCATAGGCAGCATTCCTCCTCCTCCAAACACGGCGAGTTGAGTTGATGCCAAAGAGCTCAATTTTTGTCTCATCTGACCACAACACTTTCACCCAGTTCTCCCCTGAATCATTCAGATGTTCATTGGCAAACTTCAGACAGCCCTGTATATGTGCTTTCTTGAGCAGGGGGACCTTGCGGCGCTGCAGGATTTCAGTCCTTCACGGCGTAGTGTGTTACCAATTGTTTTATTGGTGACTATGGTCCCAGCTGCCTTGAGATCATTGACAAGATCCTCCCGTGTAGTTCTGGGCTGATTCCTCACCGTTCTCATGATCATTGCAACTCCACGAGGTGAGATCTTGCATGGAGCCCCAGGCCGAGGGAGATTGACAGTTATTTTGTGTTTCTTCCATTTGTGAATAATCGCACCAACTGTTGTCACCTTCTCACCAAGCTGCTTGGGGATGGTCTTGTAGCCCATTCCAGCCTTGTGTAGGTCTACAATCTTGTCCCTGACATCCGTGGAGAGCTCTTTGGTCTTGGCCATGGTGGAGAGTTTGGAATCTGATTGATTCATTGCTTCTGTGGACAGGTGTCTTTTATACAGGTAACAAACTGAGATTAGGAGCACTCCCTTTAAGAGTGTGCTCCTAATCTCAGCTCGTTACCTGTATAAAAGACACCTGGGAGCCAGAAATCTTTCTGATTGAGAGGTGGTCAAATACTTATTTCCCTCATTAAAATGCAAATCAATTTACCGTAATTTTCGGACTATAAGCCGCGCCTTTTTCCCAATTTTTCGACCCTGCGGCTTATATAACGGTGCGGCTAATCTATGGATTTTTACAGCTAACGGCCACTAGAAGACCTCCTAGGTATTAAACATTAAAACATCTGCGGCTTATAGTCCAGTGCGGCTTATATATGTACACATCATTCAATTTAGCTGCTGCGGCTTATACTCCGGTGCGCCTTATAGTGCGGAAAATACGGTATAACATTTTTGACATGCATTTTTCTGGATTTTTTTGTTGTTATTCTGTCTCTCACTGTTCAAATAAACCTACCATTAAAATTATAGACTGATCATTTATTTGTCAGTGGGCAAACTTACAAAATCAGCAATGGATCAAATACTTTTTTCCCCTCACTGTAATATGGTCTGAGAAGAACAATATTGGCAGGCCAAGCATAGCCAATATGCTGTGATAATGTATTAGGCCTACTGCACAAACCTCATTCCTACAGAACTGTTTTTATTAGGTTAATGTTGCATAGGCTTACTTTTTATTTAATTTTTTATCTGAGTGGTAGATCTTGGCTTGCATTTTGACTCCGAAAGTGATCTTGACTCAAAGGTTGGTGACGACTGGGTTAGTAGGACAAATCTAACCCTACATTAGTCAATCACCCATGTTAGTATAGTAAAGCATTTTTGTCTACCCTTTGTTTGCTGTAGATCAATGTACTGTTGAAGGCCAGCTTATAAGTGGACTCATGGCTATGGAGTGTCTAGACCAGGGTTGCCCAGCCCTGTTCCTGGAGAGCTACCCTCCTGTAGGTTTTCACTCCAACCCCAGGTGTTACTAACCTGATTAATCTGATCAACCTGCTAATTATTAGAATCAGGTGTGCTAGATTAGGGTTGGAGCAAAAACTTACAGGACGGTAGCTCTCCAGGAACAGGGTTGGGCAGTCCTGGTCTAGACCAATGTGAGGTAGGCCTGCAGTCTGTTAAAGCCCTTGTCCTGCTTCCCTCCCAGGCTGCTGGAGGAGTTTGAGAACCACATAGAGGAGCTGAAGCAGCTGGATGAGAAGATCCAGCGCCGGGTGGAGAAGCTGGAACACCAGTGTCACAGAGAGGCTAAGGAGTTTGCCCACAAAGTGCAGGATTTACAGAGGAGCAACCAGGTCAGCTTTAAGGCCCACTGGACCTTAAACCACCCACCACAACCTCAAGTCCCCAGCATTCTTCCCTGTAGACAGGAACTTTCTGAAGATAATTTCAGAATTCAGTGTAATATAAAAGAATATAATAATAATAATAATAATAATATGCCATTTAGCAGACGCTTTTATCCAAAGCGACTTACAGTCATGCGTGCATACATTTTTGTGTATGGGTGGTCCCGGGGATCGAACCCACTACCTTGGCGTTACAAGCGCCGTGCTCTACCAGCTGAGCTACAGAGGACCATAAAGCATTATGACCCTTGCTACTTTTGAAAGCACTGCCATCATGCAAAGATTAACTTATCCCCATTCATCAATCATGTCACAAAACATGTGACTTCTTTTTGCACAACTCTCTGTCTCCATACAGGTAGCCTTCCAGCACTTCCAGGAGTTGGATGAGCACATCAGTTATGTGGCCACCAAGGTGTGTCACCTTGGCGACCAGCTGGAGGGCGTGAACACGCCCAGGCAGAGGGCGGTGGAGGCACAGCGTCTTATGACCTATTTCAATGAGTTCCTGGATGGGGACCTGCGCAGTGACGTCTTCAACAACCCAGAGAAGGTCAGGATACATACACTACCATCCACCCTCATGTATTCTTAAAGAGATTGACCTTTATGTTTTTAAAAAATAAAGAGATTGACCCTTGAAAATAACACCTCTACAGCAGTGAAAGATGTTAAGAACTGAAATAAGTCAATAAACAGGATTATGAGGTAACCACACACTTTTAATTTGTTGAATTGATCCCTTTAGTTGGATCCCTGAGCTAATTTGGATTAATCAACTGGCATTTACTTCTTGACAATAGCTAGAGGATTGACTGCCATGGATGTCAACATGCTCATGTGTGTCTTAATTGCATTAATTAATTGCAAGGTGTGAGGTAGACCCTTTTTCTTGCTGTTGACGGTCTTGGTCATCACCATTTTGTCCTAGTACAGCTAAATGTGGCATGGGAAAGCACATCAAAATATATTTCTTATGGGAGAAAACTGGACCTAATTATCTAGGTTTCCTATAGGGGTTCAAAGCCATCTGAGCAACCTCACTATCAACCCTCAAAAGTTTGATAGGGGATTGTCAGAGCTGTTTTTGAAGAGTTTGGGGTTCTCTTAATTAATTCCTTTTAGTGGCAAGTGGGGAAACTGTAATCAATCTCAGAGACGGGAGCTGGAGATGGGAATGCTTCCGGAGAGGCATGAAGTGGGAATATCGGACAGATCCCTTTTCCTGAGCATACCTCCAGATGAGGGGGAAAGAGGAAAGCTGCGAGTGAATAGCTGAAGGGGGAAGGCTCTGCTAATCCTTCTGAAAGGGAGGGTTGGGCCGCCAGCGTGGAGACAAGTGCTGCTAAACCCTGACTGCAGAGAGACGGCTACATTACTTACATGGGATTTAGCTAATCTTAGCTGGGGGACAGATACTTAGAAAACCTTTGCAGAGCAGAAAGGCTGGATCCTCCTCATGGGAGCAGAGTAATGATGTTAGCTGAGGCAGGCATCTGCGGGAACAGAGGAGTTGCGGACGGCGGGCCTTTACTAGGTCTGGGGTTTTCAGCCAGCGTGTATGTCAGGGGGAGGGGATTGGGGGGTTCTCGACAGGGCCCATTTTCTGAGCGATATCCCTGGCCGGACAGATTATTGAAGGCGATTTAGGCTCCTGTGGGATTACAGCCCATTCAGAGGAGGCATGCCAATAAAGAGTTGGATATGCTGCTAACCCAGGGCTGCTGCGGATGCTGTTAGCCAGGTGTGCAGCGGCTGCTTGTTATCAGCTCCATGGTGTACCGAGAGGAGGTGGAGGAGGGCTCGTTTAACATGATCTCCTATGTGGAGATGCTGCTACTGTTGGTTTGCTCTCTGTTTGGATGTCCATTTCTTATGTTCCTCTCTCCCTCCCCTCCCCCACTCGTTCCCCCCAATTTCTCCCTCTCCCAGATTAAGGAAGCTGCTGATATCATTCAGAAATTGCATCTCATAGCGCAGGAGCTGCCGTTCGACAGGTGAGTAGTCCTGGAGGCAGCTTTACACAAGCTCTGTGGTACAATGTAAACAGTATAGGTGCTGCTACTCTGTGCCTCTAGCCCAACCAGACTAGTTTTGTAAATGTTATGTTGCATTAACTATTGTTTCTGAGGGAGAGAAAACATTTCACTTCAAGTCAGAGGAACTACAAATATCACACATTATACAAGATTACATTGACATAATTTTGGGTTTGAGTCTTTTTAATCTCCGATATCCTCTGATGAACGCCTCTATCCTTGTCCTCTAACAGGTTTGCAGATGTCAAGGCCAAGATTGCAAGTGAGTGGTTGCATTCACAATGACCTTTGTTGCTGATTGATCAACAAATGATAGCACTGCCATGCTAAGAAAGGCAACTAAATCTGAGTGTGTGTGTCTAGGTAAATACCATGACCTGGAGCGCCAGCTGATCCAGGAGTTCACAGCAGCCCAGCGTAGGGGCGAGATTGGACGCATGCGGGAGGTCGCCGCGGTCCTCTTACACTTCAAGGTGACCCACAGACACTGGACACGTTTTGATATGTCTCCATATTAAAGAAAGATTAATGTTATTTTTTGAGCTGTGTATGTGTAGCAGTAGTAGTGAATATTGTAGCTTACAAATATGCACTTGTATCTCATGCAGCATCTATGCAACCATGGATACAGTTTGTTGTTATTCTTTGGAGATGTTGGATTGTGGTAGTGATGCAGGTGTGATTGTGACATGTCTTTGTTTCCTACAGGGCTATGCACATTGTGTAGATGTTTATATCAAGCAATGTCAGGAGGTGAGTGTGCAGTGTTCACTTGAACCCTTTATAACAGCTCAGTATAGAGTACCTGAGTGCTTCTGTTGTAGTCTCACCACAAGTCTTAGTCCTGAGGTCTGTAATTAACTCTCTGCGTGAGTTCAGGGGGCGTACATGCGTAGTGATGTGTTTGAAGACACGGCCCTCCTCTGCCAGCGAGTCAACAAGCAGGTGGGAGAGGTCTTCCAGAGCCCAGAAACCGTCATGGCCAAACTCATCCAGAACATCTTTGAGAACAAACTACAGGTACAGTGGACAATGTCTGCCACTAGTGTTGCCAGACAATATCTTCACTGACCCAGTTCTGTTGGACTGACTGAGCAGCTTTGTGTTTCCAGGCTCACGTGAAAGAGAAACTGGACGAGACCCGCCACTCTGAGATAGAACAATACCTCAAAAACCTCTACGACCTCTACACCAGGTAATATGTCTGTTTACCTTTGACCTCTCACTCGTAAAGGTCCAATGCAGGCGTTTTTATCTCAATACCAAATCATTTTTGGGTAACATTAAGTACCTTACTGTGATTGCTTTCAATTAAAATGGTAAAAAATAAACAGAAATAGCTTCTTAACAAAGATACATTTCTCAAGCAAGAATTTTGCTAGGACTGTCTGGGAGTGGTCTGAGTAGGGAGGGGAAAACTGAAAACTAGCTGATATTGGCAGAGAGGTTTGGAACTCTCTTTCTTATTGGTCTATTAACTAATTTACCGCCTGGTGATGTCAACAGGCAGGGCAAAACTCCATCCCACCACAAAAGGATGAAATTTCAGGCAATCTTTTCAAACAGCTCTTACACTAAAAGGGAATTATCATAATTTTCACAATTTCACAGTATTATTCCAACCTCAGTGTGGAAATATATATATAAAATACAGGAAAATCAAGTTCTTGACTGCACTTGGCCTTTAATACCTCATACCCTCCGGTCTGACCATTGGTAACCTTAGCAACCCTGTGTCTCTAGGACGACGGCCTTGGCTGCCAAGCTGACAGAGTTCAACCTGGGCTCAGACAAACACACGTTCCTGTCCAAGCTCATCAAGAACATCTTCTCCACCTATCTGGAGAGCTACATTGAAATGGAGAAAGATTATCTCCGCACGCGCAGCGCCATGATCCTGCAGCGCTACTACGACTCCAAGAACCACCAGAAACGCCCACTGGGTGGGGGCAGGTAGGAAGTGACTGACAACCTCTACCCCAGAGCCACCTGACCCTCTCCCTAGTCTTCTCCCTTTACCCTGAACTTCTTTGTATTAAATAGTTAAATGGATTTAAATAGTACGTCCCTCATCTCTCCACTCATCATATCAAGGTCCTGTCTTTGAGTTCAGACTCCTCCCTTTTCCTTAATGGCGTAATCGTGAGGGAGTTCTATTAATGACCCGGGTATGCCCCAGGTGAAGCGGGTTAGTGTTGATTGCATTCGTTTTACAACCGGGCTGCCTCCCGGGCGTGAGCCAGGTGCCCCGTTCTGGCCGACGGCATAGTCTGCTCAAAACTAAAGTGGCGTAGGTTAGGCACTTGGAGTAATGAGTAGGATTCTGTGTTTTCACACGCAAACGTGATTGCTTTTGATGAAAAGGCTTTATCTGCCTTCCCAATGAAAACTAGTTTGAAAATTGAAACATATTTTATGGAAAAAATATGTTGTATATTTCTGAATGATGCACCATGCTGCCTTGTTGACGACATGACAGAGCGGCGCAGATTTCTCTTCGATTTGAGAAGGGCACTCCTCCGTTCACGTCACGGGCCATAGCCCGGTGCACTTTATCAAACTCCCTCAATGTAACCCTCTCTGTCCTATTCCCCCCAGTATCCAGGAGCTGAAGGAGCGGATCAGACAGCGCACCAACCTGCCACTGGGGCCCAGCATCGACACCCACGGGGAGACCTTCCTGTCCCAGGAGGTGGTGGTCAACCTACTGCAGGAGACACGCCATGCCTTTGAGAGGTGCAACAGGGTGAGGCTGCTACGCTGCCCCCTACAGGAGAGACAATAACACTGAATGCATTGATGTCACAGTCTGTACTGAATTATAATAACAGTATCCTTTTGGTCACCGTGATCATAAAATGAGGCCTTTGCAGTAAATCCCTGTAGAGCGCTGACAGTAAATCAGGTCCTGTCTCTGTGTGTTGTGAACCAGCTCTCAGATCCCTCGGACCTGCCCAAGAACGCCTTCTCCATCTTCCTGCTGCTGGTGGAGCACCTGTGTGTGGACCACATTGACTACGCACTGGAGATCGGCCTCTCTGGTACTCACAACTCTCACTAACTGTCACTAACACAGTAAAGGTTGCAAAACCTTTTACATTTTAGTCATTTAGCAGACGCTCTTATCCAGAGCGACTTACAGTTAGTGAGTGCATACATTTTTCATACTGGCCCCCCTATGGGAATCGAACCCACAACCCTGGCGGTGCAAGCGCCATGCTCTACCAACTGAGCTACAGGAGGCCTGGATAAATCCTTTTTATGTGTGGGTGTTATACAATGGGGAAAAAAAGTATTTAGTCAGCCACCAATTGTGCAAGTTCTCCCACTTAAAAAGATGAGAGAGGCCTGTAATTTTCATCATAGGTACACGTCAACTATGACAGACAAATTGAGAGAAAAAAATCCAGAAAATCACATTGTAGGATTTTTAATGAATTTATTTGCAAATTATGGTGGAAAATAAGTATTTGGTCACCTACAAACAAGCAAGATTTCTGGCTCTCACAGACCTGTAACTTCTTCTTTAAGAGGCTCCTCTGTCCTCCACTCGTTACCTGTATTAATGGCACCTGTTTGAACTTGTTATCAGTATAAAAGACACCTGTCCACAGCCTCAAACAGTCACACTCCAAACCACACTATGGCCAAGACCAAAGAGCTGTCAAAGGACACCAGAAACAAAATTGTAGACCTGCACCTGGCTGGGAAGACTGAATCTGCAATAGATAAGCAGCTTGGTTTGAAGAAATCAACTGTGGGAGCAATTATTAGGAAATGGAAGACATACAAGACCACTGATAATCTCCCTCGATCTGGGGCTCCACGCAAGATCTCACCCCGTGGGGTCAAAATGATCACAAGAACGGTGAGCAAAAATCCCAGAACCACACGGGGGGACCTAGTGAATGACCTGCAGAGAGCTGGGACCAAAGTAACAAAGCCTACCATCAGTAACACACTACGCCGCCAGGGACTCAAATCCTGCAGTGCCAGACGTGTCCCCCTGCTTAAGCCAGTACATGTCCAGGCCCGTCTGAAGTTTGCTAGAGTGCATTTGGATGATCCAGAAGAGGATTGGGAGAATGTCATATGGTCAGATGAAACCAAAATAGAACTTTTTGGTAAAAACTCAACTCGTCGTGTTTGGAGGACAAAGAATGCTGAGTTGCATCCAAAGAACACCATACCTACTGTGAAGCATGGGGGTGGAAACATCATGCTTTGGGGCTGTTTTTCTGCAAAGGGACCAGGACGACTGATCCGTGTAAAGGAAAGAATTAATGGGGCCATGTATCGTGAGATTTTGAGTGAAAACCTCCTTCCATCAGCAAGGGCATTGAAGATGAAACGTGGCTGGGTCTTTCAGCATGACAATGATCCCAAACACACCGCCCGGGCAACGAAGGAGTGGCTTCGTAAGAAACATTTCAAGGTCCTGGAGTGGCCTAGCCAGTCTCCAGATCTCAACCCCATAGAAAATCTTTGGAGGGAGTTGAAAGTCCGTGTTGCCCAGCGACAGCCCCAAAACATCACTGCTCTAGAGGAGATCTGCGTGGAGGAATGGGCCAAAATACAAGCAACAGTGTGTGAAAACCTTGTGAAGACTTACAGAAAACGTTTGACCTGTGTCATTGCCAACAAAGGGTATATAACAAAGTATTGAGAAACTTTTGTTATTGACCAAATACTTATTTTCAACCATAATTTGCAAATAAATTCATTAAAAATCCTACAATGTGATTATCTGGATTTTTTTCCCCTCATTTTGTCTGTCATAGTTGACGTGTACCTATGATGAAAATTACAGGCCTCTCATCTTTTTAAGTGGGAGAACTTGCACAATTGGTGGCTGACTAAATACTTTTTTTCCCCACTGTATGAATCTTCTCTTGTGCCTTTTTAAATGGAAAGTGTTTGTTTCTCTCTCTCTTCTCTCTCTACAGCCATTCCATCAGCTGATGCCAAGAATGCCAACCTTTACTTCCTGGATGTAGTTCAGCAGGCCAACACCATCTTCCACCTGTTTGATAAGCAGTTCAACGACCACCTCATGCCTCTCATCAGGTTAGCATAGGGCCTGACCTGTCAATCACACCTATCCACCCTTCCCATACTGTACACTATTATTGCCTCATATGGTTTGATAACCTCCAGTTACTGTTATTATACACTAAAAGGTAGCAACTCTGTAGCAAGCTTCATGTTTTCCAGATACAGTTGTTCTGTGTTTTTATTACCTTTGACCTTTCATGGACCTTCTCTCTCCACCAGCTCTTCACCCAAACTGACAGAGTGCCTGCACAAGAAGAAGGAGGTGATTGAACAGATGGAGGTGAAACTGGACACAGGCATAGACAGGTCAGTAAACTACAGTGTTTTAATGTTAACAACATCATGGGAAATTAGTGAATGTATTCTATTAGTGTGTTAGGGGTGGTTGTCATGGTGTTGTCCTCTGCAGAACGCTGAACTGCATGGTGGGACAGATGAAGCAAATCCTAGCTACGGAACAGAAGAAGACAGACTTCAGGCCTGAAGACGAGAACAATGTCATGATCCAGTGCACCACAGTAAGGAGTGCATTGCATCCAACCTCCACCCCTGGTCTCTATTTGTATTTATTATGGATCCCCATTAGCTGCTGCCAAGGCAGCAGCTACTCTTCCTGGGGTCCGGCAAAATTAAGGCAGTTTTACAATTTTAAAACATTACAATACATTCATAACAGATTTCACAACACACTAAGTGTGTGCCCTCAGGCCTCTACTCCTGTACCACATATCTACAACACAAAATCCATATGTGCGTGTGTGTATAGTGCGTATGTTAGCATGTGTCTGTGACTGTTTGTGTTGCTTCACAGTCCGCACTGTTCCATAAGGTGTATTTTTATCTGTTTTTTAAGTCTGATTCTACTGCTTGTATCAGTTACCTGATGTGGAATAGAGTTCCATGTAGTCATGGCTCTATGTAGTACTGTGCGCCTTCCATAGTCTGTTCTGAACTTTGGGACTGTGAAGAGACCTCTGGTGGAATGTCTTGTGGGGTATGCATGGGTGTCTGAGCTGTGTGCTAGTCGTTTAAACAGACAGCTCGGTGCTTTCAACATGTCAATAACTCTCACAAATACAAGTAGTGATGAAGTCAATCTCTCCTCCACTTTGAGCCAGGAGAGATTGACATGCATATTAATGTTTGCTCTCTGTGTACATCCAAGGGCCAGCCGTGCTGCCCTGTTCTGAGCCAATTGCAATTTTCCTAAGTCCCTCTTTGTGGCACCTGACCACACGACTGAACCTTAGTCCAGGTGCGACAAAACTAGAGCCTGTAGGACCTGCCTTGTTGATAGTGCTGTTAAGAAGGTAGAGCAGTGCTTTATTATGGACAGACTTCTCCCAATCTTAGCTACTGTTGTATCAATATGTTTTGACCATGACAGTTTACAATCCAGGGTTACTCCAAGCAGTTTAGTCACCTCAACTAAACTCAATTTCCACATTATTTATTACAAGATTTAGTTGAGGTTTAGTGAATGATTTGTCCCAAATACAATGCTTTGTGAAATATTTAGTCCTCACTTATTCCTTGCCACCCATTCTGAAACTAACTGCAGCTCTTTAAGTGTTGCAGTCATATCAGTCGCTGACGTGTATAGTGTTGAGTCATCCACATACATACTCAAAGCCAGCGTCATGTCGTTAGTAAACATGGAAAAAAGGGGCCTAGACAGCTGCCCGGGGGAATTCCTGATTCTACCTGGATTATGTTGGAGAGGCTTCCATTAAAGAACACCCTCTGTGTTATGTTAGACAGGTAACCTTTTATCCACAATATAGCAGGGGATGTAAAGCCATAACACATACATTTTTCCAGCAACAGACTATGATCGATAATGTCAAAAGCTGCACTGAAGTCTAACAAAACAGCCCCTACAATCTTTTTATCATCAATTTCTCTCAGCCAATCAGTCATTTGTAAGTGCTGTGCTTGTTGAATGTCCTTCCCTATAAGCGTGCTGAAAGTATGTTGTCAATTTGTTTACTGTAAAATAGCATTGTATCTGGTCAAATTTTTTTTCCCAAAACGTTACTAAGGGTTGGTAACAGGCTGATTGCTATTTGAGCCAGTAAAGGGGGCTTTACTATTCTTAGGTAGCGGAATGACTTTCGCTTCCATCCAGGCCTGAGGGCACACACTTTCTAGTAGGCTTAAATTGAAGATATGGCAAACAGGAGTGGCAATATCATCCGCTATTATCCTGTAGTCGGATGAGTTTTTAAAAGTAAGAAATCAGTGCCATTATGTTTCACTCGACCTGTGACTCCCAACCTACACGGTCCCTGTGCTCCCCAGGCCTGCTCCAAGGTGTGTGTGTACGTGAGTCGGCAGGTGGAGCGAGTGCGGAAGTCCATGGACGGTAAGAACGTGGACACAGTGCTGACAGAACTGGGCGTGCGCTTCCACCGCCTCATCCACGAGCACCTGCAGCAGTACAGCTACAGCTCCATGGGAGGCATGCTAGCCATCTGCGACGTGGCAGAGTACCGCAAAAGTGCCAAGGACTTCCGGGTGAGAGGTCACACACAGGTCACACACAGGCATTACAACTGTATCAACAGTTTACATCATATTATTAAGAGCTAGTAATGCTACTGAATTAATGCTAGCTAGCATACTGGCTTGGATTAACATGTTGTAAAAGTTCTGTGTATGGTTGACTGTCTGTCCCCCAGGTTCCTTTGGTGCTGCAGCTCTTTGACACGTTCCACGCCTTGTGTAACCTACTGGTGGTTGCCCCCGACAACCTCAAACAGGTCTGCTCTGGCGAGCAGCTCACCAACCTGGACCGGAACCTTCTGCACGCCTTCGTCCAGCTGAGAGTGGACTACCGCCAGGCCAGACTGGGACGCCACTTCAGCTAATGGCCCGGTCAACGGGTCACCGTCCAGCCCTCTGTCCGTCCATCCAATCACCACGCCCTATGATTTCACAAGATTCACCATGGAAACAGAATTCAGCCAACCTGGATGAATTTAGCCAACCTTCTTTGCTCTCAGACTTAGTCTTTCATTCTCATCTGCAGTAGCACCTTTTGCTTGTTTGTCCATCTTAGAGGCCAAGAAAGACCACCGCCTTCACAGTTGGACTACCTGAATTTTGCCCTTTTCTGCAATGCAAAGAAGCTCAAACATATATTGACTGAGCTCTCTTGTTTTTAAATACTAATCCACCAAACCACCGTAGATGATTGTCATATTACCGGTAAGATGGACCTTGATTTTCAAGCTTTCTACTTTAAAATAAAGAGACGTTTTGTTTTGATTGTGCCAAATATATATTCTGTGGCTGCACTTGTGCACAGGAACAGACTCTTAAGCTGCTGTAAAGGGAAGGTTGAACTCTGCATAGCTCAGGCCTGACAGGACTGCATACTGGAAACAGCCACCCCTCATAGAGAACACCCAGAGGAATCTACTTTACTCTCACCACCACCATCTCGATCTCTTAGTCTCTCTCTCTCTCGCTTTCTCTCATATCCCTCCCTCTTATTCACTATATATATATATATACCAAAGTATGTGGACACCCTTTCAAATGAGTGGATTTGGCTATTTCAGCCATAACCGTTGCTGACAGGTGTATAAAAATCGAGCACACAGCCATGCAATCTCCTAGACAAACATTGGCAGTAGAATGGCCTTACTGAAGAGCTCAGTGTAAGTGGTTATATTTGTATATATATTTTTATATATACTCCCCAATTTTGATCTTGTCTCATCGCTGCAACTCCCCAACGGGCTCGGGAGGTGAAGGTCGAGTCATGCGTCCTCCAAAACCGCCAAACCGCGCTTCTTAACGCCCGCTTAACCCGGAAGCCAGCCACACCAATGTGTCGGAGGAGTTACAGTGAAGGGAAATCTTAACACTACAGCATACAATGACATTCTAGACGATTCTGTGCTTCCAACTTTCTGGCAACAGTTTGGGCCCTTTCCTGTTTCAGCATGACAATGACCCCGTGCACAAAGCGAGGTCCATACAGAAATGGTTTGTCGAGATCGGTGTGGAAGAAATTGACTGGCCTGCACAGAGCCCTGACCTCAACCCCAGCAAACACCTTTGGGATGAATTGGAACGCCAACTGCGAGCCAGGCCTAATCGTCCAACATCAGTGCCTGACCTCATTAATGCTCTTGTGGCTGAATGGAAGCAAGTCCCCGCAGCAATGTTCCAACATCTAGTGGAAAGCCTTTCCAGAAGAGTGGAGGCTGTTATAGCAGCAAAGGGGGGACCAACTCCATATTAATGCCCATGATTTTGGAATGAGATGTTAAATGAGCAGGTGTCCACATACTTTTGGTAATTCAGTGTATCTCTCTCATCTATCGAACCAAGCCTGATATAAAGCTCCGCTGTGCTTGGCACATGACCACCTCTCACATGACCACCTCTCTTTGACCCCTGACCTCAGGGCAGAGGTGAGGTCCTCTGTAGCTCAATTGGTAGAGCATGGCGCTTGTGATGCCAGGGTAGTGGGTTCGATCCCCGGGACATTTACATACATTTACATTTACGTCATTTAGCAGACGCTCTTATCCAGAGCGACTTACATTATCTTTTTATTTTTCATACTGGCCCCCCGTGGGAATCGAACCCACACTGGCGTTGCAAACGCCATGCTCTACATCCCTGCCGGCCATTCCCTCCCCTACCCTGGACGACGCTGGGCCAATTGTGCGCCGCCCCATGGGTCTCCCGGTCACGGCCGGCTACGACAGAGCCTGGATTCTCAAACCAGGATCTCTAGTGGCACAGACCACTGCGCCACTCGGGAGACCACCCATACGTAAAAATTTATGCACACATGACTGTAAGTCGTTTTGGATAAAAGCGTCTGCTAAATGGCATATTATTTTTATTATAGGGGTCAACACACTGAGCTGTGATCCCAGCCGTAAGCATGTCTGAGAACCACTCGGAGGTCCTGGGTGGTCTGTCTGTGGCTGGGATGACGGGTAATTGCATAGATTGACACCTGTTCATCTACAGGGGCTTACGATCCATGCTCTCCATTGTGGCCTGGATCAGTCCTGATTCAGGGTCAGGACACAGTGAAATGTTGCTCTTCAATGCTTAAGGAGATGAGTGAAAGTTAAGTGGACTTCACAGGGCATACTGGAGGCCAGGGAGGGTCAAGATCATTGTGCCTCTGCTCTCACGCAGTGGTAATTGACTGTCTGTCAGTGTCAGTTAAGATCAAACCTGAAGTTCTATTGTGTTATGCTAAGCTGTTCACAGTGTACTGCTGTTGATCTTAATCAATAATTCATTAAAAATGTTTTGTTTAATTAGTGTCTCTTTACTTTTATAACAACCTTACTCAAAACTGGTTCATTTTAATAAAAAATCAGTTGAAAGAGTATGAAATGTTAGTACTCAGTGAGAGTAGGCTTGGTGCTGGAAGTGATAGACATATACTTCTATGACTCATTAGGTATTCTCAACATGCCAGATTCAGAGTAGTTTCTTCCTAAAAGAGTAAAGTTCTCTAGACTCCAGGAACAGAATCTGTTCGAGGGATTAGACATCTAGCGGTTCATGAAATGTGTGCAGTCGTCATGGACTGGAGAGACAGGGCGAGATCGAGATGGCTGAGAGCTCAGCCACAGCTCCGGCTGGCTAGTGTTGTGTAGAAGGTACACAGGGTGCTGAGCAAAGTCAAACAACACAATTAATTAGGCTAATATTAATATTATCAATGTCACTGAAATTCAATTCTCCCAGCCCTAATCACAACTGGGTAGCTTGTAAAAATTATTTTGTTAGGCCCCGGCGCAAACACTGGGCCTTTTCCAAACATTTGAAAACGATTTGTTTTTGCGGCGATTAATACATGATGCCTGGGGAAGGGTGGGGGGAATGGGCCCCAGCCAGAAACAATAACTGGAGAGCAGTTGAAGGCAGAGGCACAGCCTGCCCTCAGGGACGCCCCGCCTGGGCAGATGGGAGGGAGGGGTGTTGTTTTGGGGGTGGGGGGTTGTTTGAGCAGGTGGAGGGGATTAGTAACACTGTCAATACTGGAGAGCTGGATAAGACTGGTCCCTCTTACTCATCAGCTGCCACAGTTTGAGCAGTTCCTGCATAGACACACACATCCAGACATGTTTACATACACAAACACTCGCAGGGGTATCTGTCTGGAGAGGGAGACAAAACAGGTTTGTTCTTGTTCTACATTGTCAAACCTCTGAGGAAAATATATTTCCTGCTGCTTTTTCCTGTGCAAGGCAGTCCAGCAAAAACGCGAGGATCTGGATGTAGAGAACATTATTTAACCAAACACTGTCCATGTTTTTGTCTATCAATCATACCTTACTGTCCTACAAGGAAATTCAAAATATGCATCCAAACCCAATCACTTTCCCTCCACACGCTTTCCACCTCTCCTCTCCATCTCCTCTCTCCCTCTCCTAGATGCTCACCCAGCAGGCTCAGGTAGAGCTCAGCCAGCTATTACACCTGTATTAGTGCCCTGATACGTAGTGCCCCACTACTAAGCCACCAAACCTGCCAACCTGCAGTGTCAACAGGCTAATTCTCAGTCACTCACACTCTCAGGGAGATGTCTCCTCGTCAATTAAATTGTTCCTGGCATGTGTTAGTGTATTCAAATTCTGTTTCAGACTATCCTCTCGAGTGCTCCACTTTCCATATTCAACAACTCTTAAAACTCCTTTTATTGTCTCTTCTGTTAAGAGGAAGTTTGATTCCTCCAGTCCTCTGCTCTGTTCATCAATATAATCGTTCTCTCCTCAAGTCATATTCTCCCCCTCATCCACACTTTAGCACCAGTCTTCCAGCCACCCCCTTCTCCACCCTCAGATGTCATAGCACTTTCTGTTTGTCCACTCTGTCTACGCTACAAGCCCAGCTAGTCCTCCAGCATCCCACAAATCCCTGCTTTCAGCGTCTCCCTCCCAAACACGCCGGCCCTCCCTCTGCCTCCTGGAGCACTGACAATAAAGCATTACAGCAGTCAATCCATGTCAACAACAGCTTTGCTTAATTCCTGCTAAACACAGTTTAAGCTAAATCTTCACCTAATGATGCATAGTGATTAGCACTTGCTCTTTAGTTTGCCGGCGGCTTGTATCAATCTCACTTATGTATTTGATTTTCCTGCCATCATCAGAGAGATGACTCAGGTGTGGGAGCTGTAGCAGCCAGGCTTGGGAGGGTGTTAAGGATCCCCCTTCAAATTAGTCACCATGTAATTAACACTCGTATTATGGACAGCTTTGTGTTCATACAACACCCCTCATCAGCCTCTTTTACGTGGGAATCAGAGTAATGATGCCTGAGCCAGCAATAACTGGTGCTATTCAACTGCCTGTTGTCCCCAACTACATTTCAGACATTTGTCACTTGGCATCTATGGCTTGGAAAGAGGGAGTCAAGAGATACAAAAGGAGTCATAGTGCATATTAATAGTGCATAGTAATCAAAAGGCAGCTTGGATACAGCTGTGATAGGGGGTGAATACGGTGCTTTCCAATCGAAAGAATGAGTTGTTGTTAATGTGCTATGTGCTGCCTTCCCTTCCAAAAGTCATTCTCTAGGATGTGAGGGGCTTAGAACAGGAGTCAGGGGGTGGGCATCATGCCAGACCCCCACTTACCCGCCAGGCTCTGTTGATGTGCTGCAGATGTTGCCCCGGCCTTGACCCGGTGCCCAGAGTGTGCCAGCCAGGCCCAACATGGCACAGGTACCATGCCACCTTCAGTCTTGGGCTGCCTGGAGCAGCAATAGGCATGAAGAGACTGGTGCCAATGGTCTCCTCCTTCCCTCTGTCTTGTTATACCGAAGGCTGAGTCCACTGTGGCCCAATTGAGCCCTCCCTTGAATCATTGTCATACTCCACCATCCTTTTGATAATATTAAACCAACGTGCCGTAGTGTACTTTGTTCTCCCCCACTCCTTCCCTCTATTCCATAAAAACTCTATTAATACTCTGCCATTGTGGAGCGTTTTCCGGAGCTGCTGCCTGGCTCTGTGCCTGGGTTGTGCACGCGCTTGGCTGGACTCGTCTGTTTGACTGCTCCACAGGAACAGACTGGCACTGACTGAGGGCTCCGTCTCCGGGGCCTGCACACACAATCAGCTAAGCATGGCTCTGTCTCTGATAAACAGGGTTGACTTCTTACAAGAAATCCCAATATATAT